CAGGGGCGAGGGTATTGTAGATGGCAGGGGCGAGGGTATTGTAGGTGGCAGCAAGGGGTTAGTTTAGCAGGCATGTGCGTATGGTATCCTAAAAGCATGCTGCCGGGTACTGTGCTGCCGCCAGCAGCCTTCTCGGCCACTAGGGCATCGGAAAGTTGGGTTGGATTGCCGGGACGTGGGTGTTGGGTGAGGGGTGAGGGGTCACGGTTGGAGCATGGGCGATGTACGGTTGGCTGTAGGGGACTTCGGCTTACACTTTTCATCTGCTGTAACGCAGAAGTAGACATACCGTTACGCGGTATCGCAAGAAGGCAATGTGTGTCAACTGCCGTACATCAAATGTGCTGCTATTAAGTAACAGAAGCAAGACGTGGAGTAGGTTCCGTACTTTTGTGTTGCTGCAGCTTGTCTTGCTGCAACTGCGACAGGGTCATCGGCTCAAGACACTGATTCGTTCATTCGAGGTGGGGTTCTTGTGCGGCTGCTCCGCGGCTGCGCGATGGTGGATGCGTCTGATGTCAAGCATGGACCTTAGATGACCCGTGGGTCACCTCATCCCGTGTCGCTGTAACCACGCTTATCCGGTATAATTTTTACACAATAAAACATAATGTAAGAGCAACTTGGCTGCTGACTTGCCGATTTCGTTGGTATTGGTCCCGGAACTGTTGTCGTATCGTAATGCTCTGGAAGCGGATCGTTTATCGCCATCCCAGATACGTGAATGGCAATCGCAGAGCAACCTGCCAGATAGGGAAGTAGCTACTTCGCTGAAGCTTGAACGCATGACCGCCATTTGTAATTCCGCAGAAGACTAGCGCCGCCTCTGACAGGCCGTCCTCGACTGCGCAAATGTGTTAGCCCCGCAAGGGCCCCGCTACAAACACTAGAAACACTACTCTCGTCCATTCCTTGCATCCCTTCCTTCCTCTTACTATGGAAATCCAACCGGACACCAGCCTGGATCAGCCAGATGTGGGCCTGGAGCCAAATGAAGAAGACCGACCAGCGCTTTTTGCACTTCCAGAGCACCTGCTCTCTCGCGTTCTGGCTGAAGCAGCAACCGGAGCAGCGGGCGCGTATGCCTCTTGCAGCACGCTTTGCACCGCGTGGCAGGCGGCGCTCAGCCAGCCTGCAGGCGCCGCGAGGTACCTGATCGCTCGCTACGGCACCCAAAACGCTGTGCTTTACCTGTACACCTGCCCCGGCTTGCTGAAATTTATGCTGGCTTGTGTGCCGGTGGAGGAGCACGAGCAAAGAATTATGGAGTTGCTGCGTGAAATAGAACTCGCGCAGCCGCAGCAGCAGCAACCTCCGCAGCATCTGAAAGCACCGCGATTTGATGGTGATGAGCCAAACGAGCCTTATAGCGAGGAGCAGGGCTACGACTCCGCTGCTGCTGCGGCCCACACCGCTTCTTCTTCCTCCTCTTCTTCTTCTCCTATCTCAATTTCAGATTCCTCTTCTTCACAAGCGTCTTCCGAACGTTTTCAGCGGCTGTTCTTGAACGTCTTCCGCGCAGCCGCCGCTGGACACCTTTCCGTCCTCAAACGGCTGCTTCGGCACCACAACGCGCCGCTCAACGCAAACATGTTCATGGGCGCAGTCATGTTCGGACAACTCCACGTGGTGCAATACCTGCTGCCGCAATTGCTGCGTCGTCGCGCCGCAGCAGCAGCAGCCTTGCAGCGCGCACCGGCAGAGGCCGCAGAAGGCGATGGTGCAGCAGCAGGCTCGAGGGACGCATGGGACAGCGGGCTGGCGGATACCGCGCCTGCGGAATTTGCGCTGGTGTGGGCGGCGAACTTTGGCCATGAGGATGTAATCCGGGTGTTGTTGGAGGCGGGGGCGGATGCGAGGCACGAGGAGAGCGAGGCGCTTCAGATGGCGGCGAAAGGGTGAGGCAGGCAGGCAGGCACAGGGGGAGGCGGGGGAGGCAGGGGAGGAGCGGGGGAGGGGGACGTTGAGCGGCGGGGCAGAGAGGGGTAAGGTAAACTGAGCCGAAAGGAATCACTGAGGGAGGATGGAGCGGGCAAGGGAGGTGGAGCGAGGGGATTGTGAGGGCTGCTTGCTTGCTTGCTTCTGGCTGCTGTAAGGAAGGGTGCATGGTACCGGTAAACGAGAGGGCAAGACAGTCCAGGCTAGACTGTCCCACCACACCCCTCTCACCTTACCCCGCCAGTACTCCAGTTGCTGCATTTTCTTATTACTATTATTTTATTTATTTTTCCCCGCCATGTCAACTCCTGCCCTCTGTCCTGCGCCCTCACAGGGGCCACAGTGACATCGTAGCCGCGCTGCTAGCCGCCGGGGCGGACCCCAGTGCGCGGCGTTGCAGGGCCCTGGCCCACGCATGCATGTACGGCTTCACCCCCGTCGTACGACAGCTCATTGCCGCGGGCGCTGACGTCACCACGAGTGGCAGCACCTCCCTGGCTATGGCCTGCAGATACGGCCATGCGGGTGTCGTACGGGAGCTGCTGGCGGCGGGTTTGGACGTGCACGCATTCGGCGACGAGGCAATTGTGTATTCGGCCAAGTACGGACATGCAGACCTTGTGCGGTGCCTGTTAGAAGCAGGCGCGGATCCGAACGCCGACGACGGCGTCCCGCTGCTGTTGGCATGCAAAGCAGGACATCTGGAGGTGGTGGAGTTGCTGCTGGCCGCCGGTGCGGATCCGGGGGGCCGAGAGAACCTGTCTATAAGTGCCGCTTGCATGTACGGCCATGCGGACATTGTACGGCGGCTGCTGGCGGCAGGTGTCGACGCCAGGGAGAATCTGCTGGTCAATTTGTCGTGGGCGGAGCGTTCAGGTCACCCGGAGCTTGTGCGAGAGCTGCTGGATGGCCGTGCGTGGCTGCAGCTGGCTCAGCATGTGGGCGGAACGTTTCTGTTGTCGTACGGTTTGGTTCGGGCGGGGATGATGGACGGGATTGCGGCAGTGGGACAGTTGCGGAGCTGGACCTTTGGCTGGGGACGCGGGTAGGGTAGGGCAGGGCAGCGTAAGTAGATGCGTTTTGCGATGTACGACAGTTGTTGGCAGTAGTGTACGGCAGTTTATTGTAGTGTACGGTAGTTGTTTGAAGGTGTTGCAGTGTTGCAGCGTACGGCAGTTATTATAGAGTACGGCAGTCCTTCGCATCTTACATAGGATCTACTTTCTTGCCGTGTGCCACGCGGCACGAAGCGGTGGCGTGTGCTAAGAAGCATGAATGGAGACTAATATGGAATGGAATGGTTGCTTGGTTGGAAGACGCCATGCTTTAGCTCATAGATGTAGTCTTGACACTTGGGGGTCAATTGTTGCCCAGGCCAAAGTTCCCGAGCATGGAGGCTATGCCGTTGGGTTTTAGTTGACATGTGGCCCGTGCAAGCTGCTTGTAGCGCCCGGCTCGCAGCACTACCCTTCCCAACTCTTCAACCGTTCCAACAGCCATACGGGGGTTCACACTCGCTACCCTCGACAACAAGCGTGATGAGGGGCAATGCATGTGTTATAACAAGCAAAGGGGCTGCTGTTTGCGTCTGTCTCAACACCGCCGTACGTCCAGCAGCTCTGCTAGATCAGGAAAAGCTGATGAACCCCCGATGCCCTCATCCAAGATGGGCACAGGTACCGATAGTCCCTCATCGTCGTCGCCTCCTATGAAACCCGAGGGGCCAAGCACCCGTACCATGCAAGCCCTCCTCGTGCTCTCTTCGTGCCCTCTGCTCCTACTGCTTTCTGCAATAAAAGCAGAAAGACCGGGAACCAGCCTTTCCAACGAACGGCAACGTGTGGAGAATAAGGTAGCAACCACTTAACAACCCGCGGGATGAGGGAATGGAAACGCAGCAACCAGGATAAAGGTAATGCAGGAAAGCCCAAACAGACGGGGCTCCGTAACACCCACACAGGCCGGGTAGCTGTTGCTCATATCCCCCTCACAGCATCTCGCCTCATGTCACACCGCTTGCAGAGGCTGTTGTTGACATGCGATGACAACGCAAACCCAATACATATGCGCCACGCAGGTATGCAACAGCCCGGCATGCAAATAACGCTCTCAGCTTTGGTTTCGACGCACTGGTCGAAACCGCACACAAGCCTTCGATGTACGCCCACCTTTTCGCCAGTTTTCGGCCGGTCTTCTTAACACAACTTCCGCCCCCACACCCGCCATAATGACATGCCGAGCACACATGCAAGCAGCGCCCATGCAATCAGCAGCTGCAAATCCACTAGCTGTAGGGCCATCGTTTTAGGGCACTACGCACACCTACAGAGCCTACGCCGCCACTCCCAACGCGCTGCTGCCGCCAACGTCGTTCCTCCATGCCAACGTCGTTCCTCCACACAAAATAGGCAGCTGCTGCGGCTCTCTGCTCGTGGCAAGAGCAAAATAGAGCGCTGTTTCCTCTTCTATTAGTACAAAGGACGGCCGGCTATACATTCCTATCCCAGCGATTCTATCCTAGGCCCCATACCGCAAGATACCTCACCACACGACACCGCATCATAAAAGCGTGAAATGGCGCGACAACAATCGTACGCGCAATCACTCATCTAACCACCACAAACCGACCGAATGTACCCAAACGGTCACTGTTTGCTCTCTTTTCTTCCCGCAAACCTGCATTCCTAGCAACAACCAAAGGAGGTTAACTCGGGGTTAAGTTCCACTATGCATGCTTCACCAAAAACACACACAGGCACATCCTCCTCCCGCCTAAAAACACAAACCGCAGCGAACCACCGCTGTCGCCATAACCACGACTACCGCCTCTACACCATTCACACATAACGACTCTCCGTCGCATGCGCGACCCATGCAGCTGCTGCCGCCACCACCAACCATCTCCTGTCTGCTACACCCCTGCCCCTACCCACCTACTGCTACCCCCTACATCCCCATGCACCTCCATGCACTACCATGCATGCATGCAAGCGTCATCACGACGACTCAATCGCCGCCCTAACCGACCCCGCTAGTCCCGCCGCCGCCGCTATTCCTCCTCCTCCGGCTCCTCCTCCCCCATGCAGCGCCTGACTCAGGCCGCCTGCTGCCACCGGGGTGCGCATGTGGTTCCGCTCCATGGGTGGTACCTGCACGCCGATCACCCCCATGGCTGCCCCCGGTTCCAGGAAACCCGTGGACTTAAGAATGGCGTTGCGGACCCGCAGCCGCTCGCGCTTGATGGCGACGCTGGGGCTGTCACCTGGCGGGGTGGGCGGGTGGGTGGGTGGGCGGGTAGAGGGTGGGAAGGAGCAGGGCGGGTGAGAAGGAGTGGAATCAGGACGTGTCGCATCCATCGCCTCGACCTCGGATAACCCCCGTATAGGTTATGCTCAGCCCTCCGCCTATTGGTTTGAAGAGTGATAAGGCTTCAACGGATTCTTCTTTACCAAAAAGACGGCCCCAAAAACCGTGAGTTGCTCCCACCTGTGAAGGAGAACATGAACTCGTTGACCTGCGACAGCTGGTGCGGCGGTACGAATGTTGCGGGCGCGTACTGGGTGGGCGGTCCGTCGCCGCCGTCCGCCCCCTTCTTCCAGCGGTTCATGTGCGGGATGCTGACGGGTACGGAGGAGCCCTGTTAGCGGGATGGAAGAGGAGGAAGAAAATGAGGAGGAGGGTGTTAAGTGTTGGTTGTTTGGTGCTCCAAGGTTGCCATGGGGGTTCATGGGGGGAGGGTCCTATGGCAGGGCTCACGCGTGGGAAGGTTTGGCAGGAGGATTCAGTGCTTTAGGGCTCCAGGCTTACTACATGAGCATCGCAAGGAAGAATCCCAGCCTGCGGCAGAGACTTTCGCCAAGACCAGGGCTTTCTTGCGAAGCGCCAGTTGATGAAGACATCTCTGCAGCCAGAGAGCAGCGCCCGCGCATGCGACGTCCACGCCACCTTACCATGCGCACGTGTCCAGTGTTAACTGGTACCGAAGCTGCAATTGGGTGATAGCTGGGTAGCTGCTCTCCGGAAACTTCCGCCGTGTCCTGGGGAACATCAGCCCCCGTGTCCAGCACCGCAGCTGTCAACGAGCTTTTGGCGCTGCTCTCCTCCAGCTCATCTGCAGGTGCGGAGTAAGTGAGGCAAGGGCACGTTCAAGTCGATATCCAAATTAGGGTCGTCCTAACGGTGCCCATTTCCGATGTAGAGAACAAGCCGACAACAATTCGCAGCAAGGCAAAGCAGACTTGCAAGCTTAAGGCGCAAGCTGTTGATAACAAAGCACGGATTGGCGGGGAAAGTTGCCCAGACCGTTACAAGCCCGCACGCCAATCAGGCAGGCCAGCGCACCTGGCCGTCGCACTTCAAAATCAGCAGGTGTGGCCTCCTCGTCTTCTAGATCTTCGCTTTGCGACCCTTGGTCGCGTTCAGATATGTCGTCAAATAGGTCGGCCTCGTGGAAATCCTCATGAATTGGCTCCATCCCACAGGCTGCTAGGCAGCTGCGGGCTGGTAACCTTCACTAAAGCTCTATGCAGATGGTGCTGGCAAGCGCCGACGTTTTGATGCGTCCGGCGCGCTATGCCCACGTCCTCTACCCACGGCGGCTGTGGATAGACACCCTAGTTATGTTCGCTAAGATGTAAGCACACAGGACCGTAGATGCTAGTAAGGTACCAAAGCGTGCAAAAGTAACAAGAGGTTGCAACGTTGACAATGGATTTCTGTTACTTTGCGAAGTGGTTGCAAGCTAGTCACCAGGTGAGTTAGGCTTTTCAATTTACAGATGTATAGTGATTATAACACCAGTGTTCAACGCGGGAGTACAGAATGGAAATCTTGCGTACTATCGCGACCCCACCAATGGAACATCCATCCGTCCCAGTAATGCATATGCCAAAGCGAGGAGTGCTCCCATGCACGGAAATTATTTTGTGATTTTTCTTCCTGCAGGTAAGCAACCATGACGTGAACCGCGTAATAGCGACCCATGGGGGTTCTCCACCTGCCACGTTCAACCCATCCTTCGCCGCGCGATGACCTCAGTGAGAATACCTCCACCCGCGCTCACTTCAGCGCAAATAAGTAGTCGCCGCATCCAACAACGCCGCATCATGCATGCCCACCTGCTCATATACTCACTATTCAGTTCTCCAAACAAACCAATATAGCGGCTGCGCCCAACCCTCCCAAGCGCTCCCAAACAGCCCTGCATCCCTCCAAACACGCCCTGCTTGACACGCGCCCTCACCCCCCTCTGCGCCCCTGCCCTCCACGCCCACCTCGCCCCGACCCTCCCTTATGCTCGCCGCCCTCCCCTCCCTGCCCCTGTCCCTGCCTCTGCGCAGCCTCCAACCGCCCTCCGGTAGACGCCGACTCCACACTCTCGTACTCGTCCGACTGATCCTCCGCTGCCAATGCAGCCATCAGCACCGACCGCGCCTGCTGCTGCCTCAACGCATGCTGCGACTGCGAGCCGCCGCCGCGCTGCTGCGATGAGCCGCCCGCGCCAGCCACCGCCGCTCCGGAACCCACACCGCTGGTCCCCGCACCTGCACCCGCACCGCCTCCGCCACCACCTCCCGCGCCGCCGCCGCGTCCGTTACCGCCAGCCCCGCCTCCCCCCTGCTGCCCCCCGGATCCACGGCCATGCTGCCCTCCTCCTCCCCCTCCTCCACCGCCACCACCTCCGCCACCATGCTTCTGCCCCCCTTGGTGCTGCTGCTGCTGCTGTGAGTTGTAGCCCCTGCCGGCGCCACCGCTACCCCGCGACTGCCAGCGACCCTCTGCGTCCGCATGCTGGTGTGGGTGCTGGTGGTGCTGCTGGTGGTGCCCGGTGCTGGAGGAATTACCCCCACCGCCACCGCCGCCACCACCCCGGCGACCCGACACACGTTGCCACTCCTGACCCTGCTCCTGCTGCTGATCCGAGACCTCCGCCTGCTGCTGCTGCTGCTGTTGGTGCTGCTGATTGTGATTGTGGTTGTGGTGCTTTCCATGGGACGACCCGCGACCGGTCTGCTGGGAGCGAGCATGCCCGCCAGCTGCTGGTCCAGATCCATGCCCCTGACCCTGACCTCCCTCCTCGCGCAACCCCTCACCGGACGCCGCCGCAGCAGCACCACCACCACCCTGCGCATGGCCGCCGTGCCGGCCGTGCCCGTGCCCATGGCCGTGTCCGTGGCCATGACCCTGACTGCCCTGGGAAGACGAACCCGTCGTTGAAGACTGCTGATGCTGCTGGTTGTGGTGGTGGTGGTGGTGGTTGTGGTGCTGGCCCCTAGAACGCTCCCCACCTGCACCGCCGCCGCCGCCGCCGCCCCCAGCCCCGTCCCCTCGGGTCTCATGGCTAGAGCCGGGCCGTCCGCCGCCGGCCTTATGACCGCCTCCCTGCTGCGGGTGGTGCTGGTGCTCCCTCCCGGATCCCCCATGCCGACCTCCATGCACCCCTGAAGCCCCATGCGCCGAAGAAGCCTCTGTAGCGCTCCCGCCGCCGCCGCCACCACCTGCCGCCCCGCGGCCTGCCGTACCGGCAGCAACAACCGCAGCAGCAGCAGCAGGTGGTGATGCATCCGCACTGGTCGCCGCTGGCGCCGGGGCGCCGCTAGTCGTTGGGCTGGCGGGTCCGTTACCGGCCGTGATGCTGTTGATCGCGGCTGCTAGGTAGCTGCTGACGCCGCCGGAAGAGGTGCTGCGGAGGGCCGTGGCGGCGGAAGGTGAAGAGGCGCCGCTGGCAGCGGAGGCGCCGCCGCCTGCTGGGTTGGAGGGAGCTGGAGATGCCGAGTTGCTGAAAGCGCTACGAATGGCTGAACTGCCGCCGGCGGTGGAAGACTGGGCGGGTTGCGGCTCCTGTTGGCGCTGCTGAGCCTGCTGTCGCTGCTGCTGCTGCTGCTGGTTGGCGGAGCGGGGGCCCGGGCTGCTGCTAGCAGGCGTGACCGTCCCTGCAGCACGCGAAGGGGCAGCAGCAGCGGGGGCAGGAGCAGCTGGCGCCGCAGCCGTGTGGGTGCTTCCGACGGCGCCGCCAGCGCCGCCATCCTGCCGTGGGGGCTGCTGGACGGTATGCTCACTGGAGGTGCGCCGCTTCACAGGCTGGCTGGCTGCGTCAGAGGCCGGTCCGGCCTGCGGAAGATGGACGGGAAGGAAGGTTGGGCAGGACGGCATGTGTCGTACTTTTAAGCCGTACAGGCTGTGTACGGCTGGACAGGGCTCAGGTGTGGCTCGGATGAGACGGCATGGCGTATACGATGAACAGCTCGGGAAAAAGAACCGTGACACGGATCATGGGTGCAAACCCCGATAGCACTGCTGCATGCAAGCCCCAAAGCGCGCACCCGCCCTTACCTGCGATCCGCCCGGTTGCTTGCTACCGGATGAAGAGCTGGCGCTGCGGGTGCTGGGTGCCGCTGGCGCAGTGGCAGCGGCAGCGGCAGCAGCGGCCTGCGCAATCGCGGCGCTCGTCCAATGCGAGTGGGACGCGTGCGATGCGAGCTGTTGCGGTTGATGGAGGGGGTGGTGGGGCGGTCGGTAGGGAGCGGGCTTCTTAGGCGTTGTCTGTTGCTGCGGGTCCGGATGCGGTGAAGGCGAGGAGGCGTTGCCGTGAACCATTGGGACTTCAGAGTCCGACTCCGACGCCGGTTGCTGCAGCTGGGACAGGGGAAGACCTGGGGCAACCCCGACGTGCAACTCTGTGACACCCGCTGCTGTTGTCGCTCCTGCACCCGGAGCCATGTCTTGGTACGGCACAGCGCGTGGCAATTCTGTCTCGAAGCCCTCGGCCTCCCTCAGCCCCACTACCTCGCCCGCTGGGGCACCTGGCAGGTGTACGGCACCGCCGCTTTTGCTGAGATCCAGAGATGTGGCGTACGGCAACGCGCCGCTTTCCGCAGCGGGAGCTGAGGCAGATGGTGTGGGTGGGCCGTCAGCTGAAGGCACGGCGGATTCACTGGGTGGGCATCGGGGCAGCTGCTGCTGCTGTTGCTGCTCCACGGCGGGTACAGGCCGCATGCGCAGCGAGGGCACGGGCAACAGGGGCACCGCGGGAGGTGAGTGGTGGCCTCCCGCCACGGCGATGAGGCCGCCGGGCTGCAGCAGCGGTGCGCCTTCGCGTCGCTGCGCGCCCATAGCAGCAGCTAGGAGCTGCTGGGCGGAGACAGAGGACGGCGAGGAAGGCGACAGCTGAGCAGGAAGGCCGCTGGCGGTGGTGGTGGTGGTGGTGCTGCCGCCGGACGCTGGCCCCCCGACGGGAGATCCCGCGGCAGCGGCGGTCTGTGGGGATATGTGTGGCAACGGAGGCGCCGATGCAGGCGCTGCCGGCGGCGGGGGCGGTGGCAAGCCGGAAGCCGTTTCGGAGTTGGATCCCCGTCGCGCCGCTGCCGCCGTACCGAGAGGGTCGTACCGTTGGTTAGGCAGCCGTACGAGCTGCGGCGGCGGCGGCGGCGCGAAGGACATCAGCGCAGGCGGCGGCATGGCGGCGGCAGCAGCGGCCGCCGTCGGCACCCATTGCGGATGTGCACCAGGCGTCGGCTCAGCCACACGCGGAGGCGGCGGTGGCGGCGCCAGCGGTAGCGGTATCGTCAGGGTTGGCATCGTGGCAAGCTCCCCGCCAGCCGTAAACGTGACCGAAGCAACGCCGCCGTCAACGGCTGCAGCTTGCGGTAAACTGCTGACGTCAACGCCGGCGGCGTCGCTGGCTCTGTTGCCCAAGCCCGCTTTTGAAACCGGCGGCCCCGCCAGGCCCATAAGGGGCGCCTGCGGGCTGTGAGACAGCGGCGTGGATCCAGATGAAGACACGGAGGTGGGCGTTACGGCCGCAGGGGTCAGATGCTGTAGGACCTCCGGCGGCGCAGCGCCGCTGCCAATGCTTCCAACGCTGCCGACGGTGGCGGCGGCAATCGGGGCTGTGGCGGCTGCCGATCCAGTGCCAGTAGCTACTGGTGTAGCTACCGGCGCCGACAGGCTAACAGCCTCCAGGGGAGGCTGCAGGTGCAGGTGTTGCTGTTGCTGCTGTGGATCTTGATGATGCGGAAGGGCCACGTCGGCGGCGGCGATGTTTAGCGGGGGTGAGAGCACCACAGGCCCGACGGCAACGGGGACGGCCGCTCGCATGCGGTTGCCTCCGCTAGCGGCGTTGGCAGCAACGCCCGCCTCCGCTGACGCCTTTGCGGCAGCGATGGCGTCCGGCTGCCAACAAACCGCCGGAGCCTTGCTGCCGTCCTCCGTCGGCCGACGCGACGACGAGGACGCCCCCATCGTAGCGGCTTCTTGTATGACAACGGGAGGAATTCCTGACGCAGCAGAGGCTGGATTCGCTGGCGGCGGCGGTATCGCAAGAGCAAAGGCCGTCGCGCTGGGCACGCCGCTGGGTCCGCTGACGGAGGTCATCCCGCTGTACGACAATCGTGATTGCGACGTGGAGGACGTCACGGAGCCCGGGCCGCCGTCGACGTCGAACATCAGCTGATCGTCCATGTGAAGTATCCCGCTAGCCTGGTCGGACAGCACTGACCCGCCGGCGCCGCCGCCGCAGCTTACGCCAGCACTGCCGACGGCGCCGCCGCCGCCGCCACTGACGCCGGCGGAGACGTCATGCAGACCCGCGCCTCCATGAGCTGCTGCCGCCATGCCTGCCACCATTGCACGCGTGTACTCCAGGTTTACCACATGCGGGTCTCGCAAGTGGCCATGTGCTTGTGGCCCTGCGGCCCCGAAGGGCATATGCGGAAGAAGAACCGACGCGGCGGCGCCTTCGCGCTGAGACGACGACCCGCCAGAGTGGCCGCTGCCGCCGCCGCCAGCTTGCATTCCCCCAGAGTGGCCGGCGCCACTGGCTCCGGAACCAGCTGCGATTGGTCCCAGCACGGGTACAGGAGGTATCGACCTGTTGCCGTACTGCGCCTGTCCAGCCGACGATCCAAGGGAGTGCGAGGGGCTGAGCACGTTTGAGGCGGAGGGGCTGTGGCCCCATAACGACCCGTCTTTGATGTCGTACAGGTACGGCAGCGCGGTCATGCCATGGCGCTGTGCATGCGCGTACAGCCAAGACGGCGGCGAGTGCTGAATGTTATGAGCCAGCGCCGGCGGCGGCGGCGGCGGGAGGTTGGGCGGCAGGTGCGGCGACGGCGGCGACAAGCCCATCATGAGCTCATGGTGCCCGCTGAGGCGTCCGTACGGAATGGCGGCGGCGGGGTGAGGCAGCATGCCGGCTGCCGCCGCTGGGTGCGATGAGGGCTGATGGCCGCTTGTCGCCATGCCCGCAGACCCTCGTACGGCAGAAGACCCGGTTGTACGGCTAACGCTAGGGACGTTGCCGCTAGCTGCTGGAGCCGGCGGAGCCGGTGTTGCCGCGGCGCCGCTGGCAGCAGCGGCGGCTGCCGCCGCTGCTGGCGGCGGAGCCACACCGGCAGCCCCGGCCGCCGGAGCTGCGCCGGCCTGCCGCAGCGCGCCGGCTGCCGAAACGCCTGGCGCCACCCCTCGGCCTAGCATGGCACCCACATGCGCAAACAGCGGTGGCGGCTTCATCTGCTGCAGCTGCGCGTAAAACTCCTGCAGCTGTTGGTGCACTGTTGACGAGGGCTGTGGCAGCAGCCTCCCAGCCGCTACTCCTGGAACCGCAGCCGTGGCCTGGGCTGACAACGCCGAAGGCGCCGGGCTCTCGATACCTGTCTGGGCGTTGGCCCCAGCCGCCGTTGCTTGCACATCCGCAACTGCCGTCATCACGGCATCCGCAACCGCAGCGACGGTGGCATTACTGCCCTCCGAGCCTCCAGCCCAGCTTGGCCCCGGCGCTGCGCTCATGCTGCTGCCAGTGCCGCCGCCGCCGCTGCCCCCCGCAAACGCAGCGGAAGCTCCCGCGGCTCCTACGACGCCACTGCCCGCGTCACTATCCTGGCTTAAGACCGCCTGGCTGGCATGCTTGGATCGAACGGCTGTTGTAGCCGCCTCCGCAGCCGTTGCAGACGTGGCATGCCAGTTCAACCCAACCATCATTTCGGCTTGGGACCGGGCCGACCTGCCTGTGTCATCCGCGTCGACGGCGACCCCCGCCGCCGACGACGACGGTGCCGTCACCGCCCCTCCGCCGGCTACCATGCCACCACCCTCTGTGCAATCTGGGTCGGCACAATCGCTGCCGCCTGCCTGACCCGCAGCAGCAGCAGCCGGCCCAGATGGCAACGCGCCCTGCTCCAGCAGCAAGCGAAGACTATCCGCCGCCATGGATAGGGTATCCGCGGTGCTTTGGGTAGAGCCGCCGGACACGCGACGGGGGCCAGGGGCGGCCATGTTGGCGCCTGACGCCGCTGCAGCCGTCGCGGCCATTGCCATTGCCTCTCTCCTGCTGGCTAGCGCTGCGGCGGCGGCGGCGGCGGCGCCAGCGCCGCCACGGCTGCCTGGGCGCATGCCGGCAGCAGCAGCAGCATGCAGCGCCTCGAAACCGCTACCGCTACCGCCGCTGAGACCGAGCAGCGCGTTCATCGCACCGCCGCCGCTCAGCGCTGTTGCCGATCCGGTACGATGTCGTGCACTGTAGCCGCTGCTGCTGGCGCTGCCGGTGGAGGAGCCGTCGTGCGAGAACCGCCGCTGGTTGTTGCTGTCGACGTGGCTTTGCGACCCATGGGACAGTAAGAGCTGTTGTTGCTGCTGCTGCAGTTGCTGCTGGGCGATGAGCTGTAGGGCTGACATGGTAGGGTGAGCGTGGCCGCCTTGTGTGTGCGTGTGCGCGTGCGGATGTGCACCATAGCCGCCTCCTGCCACCGCTGCAGCAACAAGCAGCCCCATCGAATCGAGCTGCAGTTGATGTTGTTGCTGTTGTTGCTGTGCGACGACTGCCGCCGCGGCAGCTGGCGGCAGCGCGTTCGGCGCTGGTGCCGGCGGTGCCGGCGGAATCGCGAACGGCATGTAGGCACCCGCCGCCGCCGCCGCCGCTGCTGCTGGTACGCCGTGCAGCACATGAGGATGTGCGTGCGGGTGTATCAACGCGCCTTGCAAACCGGCAAGCAGGGGCGTGGGATGCGCCTGCAGCTGCCGACCATACCCCATGGCATGCAGCATCTGGGTGACACTAGTCAGCTGCTGTTGCTGCTGTTGTTGTTGCTGCTGCTGCTGCTGCACCAACGCCTCCTGACTCAGAGCGACGAGGCCAGGGCTGCTCGCGGCCCAGTGACCTGACGGCAAGATGCCGCCGCTGTGGAGGTACGGCAGGGGACCTGGCGCCGCCAGGGCCGCCGTCGGCGCGACAGGAGCGCTTCCGCCGCGTGTTGACCGGGCCGTCCCCGTCGCCGACGGCGACTGACGCTGCATGTGACTTCCTCCTCCACCGCCGCCGCCGCCGCCGCCACTGCCACCATGCAACATGCCATCGGGCCCGTACGACGCTACCAGAACGCCACCGCTGGCGGCCGCGGCGCTTGTCGTACCTCCACGTCCCGACGTCGCGGTTCCGGTTCCAGCCGTTGACCCGCCCACAGCCCCGGACTTGGACCCTGGGGAGCGACTCACAAGGTGCTGCTCGATCTCCTCCGGAACCAACGCGACGGCGTACGGCAACTGCATCCTGGGGGAGGTGCTGCTGCCACCTGCAACCCCTCCGCCGCCGCCGTCAGCAGCGGAGCCGGCGGGTAGTTGTAGCGGTACGACACCGGGATGCGCGGCAGGTACGGCAACGGTTGACGGTCCCGCAGGCGAGCGCGCGGATGGAGCTGACGTGGAGGCCTCCGGCGGAGGCGGCGCGTCGGAATCATGCGCAGCAGCAGCGGCGGGAAGGGGTGTAGCTGTCGGCAGGGCAGGCACAGCGGCGTCGCCTGCATTCGAGCTGTATGCCTCATAACGCTCGTCCTCCTTGTGTTCTCTTCTGGAGGACGGCGTAGCAGCTGCTGCTGTGGAGGGATTGGCGGCGGCGGCAGAGGTGGCGCCGGCGGCGGCGGCACCCTCCCGCGGCGAGTGTTCCGGTGGAATGGCAACAATGCCCTCGCATGCCTCGGCGTCCGTCTCCGAGCCGTCGCAAGGGCCCAGGCCAAAAGCCTCGTCCTCTATCTCCGGAATCGTCGGCGTGTCCTGAGCTCCGGAGGCGGTGGCATAGCTAGACGTATCGTCTCCAGGTCCCGAGGTCGAGGCCTCCGCCTCCGCCGCTACCGCTACCGCCTCCGCCCCCGCGGCGGCGGCCTCACCCGTAGTGCCTGCACCGGCCCTGTCGTCCTCCTTACCCTCCCCAGCGGCGCCCTCCGCTGTCGCAGCGGCAATGGGTGCTGCGGCAGCGCCGGCAGCCTCTTTACGACCTGCCGTCACCGCCGCCACCGGCTCCACCTTTCGCCCGCTGGTGGAGGCGGCTCCCGCCGCTCGTGACGCAACCGCCGCCGCCGCTGCCGCCGCCGCCGTGGTTATCGCGGGCATTGAGGGCGCCGACATGACACGCGGTATGCCGCCGACGCCGACGCCTGCGTTGCCGCTGCCACCTTCGCTTCTCGACCCTGCCTCCTGGCCACTCACGCCCTCTACCGGCGCTACGCCCACGCCCACGCTTAGCAGCAGCTGCTGACCCCAGCCCAGCAGCTGTGGAAGGGACAGCGCGCCGCCGGAGCTTTGTATGGCTTGCACCAGCGCCAGCGGCACGGCCTGCCCATGCACCATGGGCAGGGCCTGCAGCACCTGAGCAAGGATGCGCTGCCGGGTCTGCGGGTCGCTGCTGCCACCGGCCGCCGCCGCCGCTGCTGCCGCCGCCACAGCTGCAAGGCTGTCCATGGTCTGCTGAGTGTTGGCGGAGCCGCCTGCCGACCCACTAGCAGCAGCAGCAGCACCGCCAGCAGATCCGCCAGCTGACCCACGGGTCATGCTGTTGTTGCTGGCCAGCTGCTGACTCAGCACGAACAGAGCGTTGGCTGTTGAGTTACGCAGCAACACATCTGCTTCAGAAACCACGCCCTCAGCCACATGCCCTTGCTGCTGCTGGTGCTGCTGTTGGTGAGCCAACATGAGCCATTGGTTCACTGCTTGCTGCGCCACAGAGGCATCACGCCCAGCAGCGCCATGCGAGCCTCCCGCTCCTTGGCCCGCTTGCCCCTGATGCCGTTGCCCCTGCACCTGACCCTGCTCCTGCCGCCGCGGCATGTGTAGATCGCCTGCTATGGCGCCGTACACAACCTGTGGCAGACCGCCACGGCTGCTGCTGGATGCGACGCTGCTGCCGCCGCCGGAGGCGGCGGCAGCGCTGCCGGCCCCACCCCCGCCACCGCTGCTGCTGGCGCCGGAGGCGCCACCACTACTACCAGCGATGGGGGGTGCGGAGGTGCTCGGCAACGGCGGCGCGGGCATGTGCGGGAAGGGCTGCGGCAGGGGCCGTACAGCCACTGGGTGGTGCAGGCTGGGCGGCGGGCCGCCGCCTCCGCCGTTGACATGCGGCTCCCCGGGCGGCCCTGGAGCCCCCAGGTGCTGCTTCTTGTGGCGCTGGGCGTTCCAGACTTTGCCGAAGAAGTTGTCAAAGCCCTTGGCGCCGATGAAGGGACCCAGCTCCTGCGAAAGAGACGGCCCACACCGAGGAATATGAACCGTTGGAGGCAAGCGGACCGTAAGACTTACACCCAAGTCGTGAAGACATGCTGGCATGCGCAAGTAGCCAATCCCCACGTCCGCCACATTACACCCAGGCACAGCCTCCCAAAGCCCCACCCCGCTCCTGCCCCCCGCCCCCTCCACCACCTCCTTCCTACCTTGGCCTGCTCTGCGATATCCGCCAGCATGCGCGCCCCATGCTCGAAGGCCCTGCGGATGCGCAGGTACGACGCCTTGGACACGGACCTCCCCAGGTTGTTGTTGGGCAGGATGGGATCCATCACATTCAGCTGCCGGATGGCAAAGGGCTTCAGCTCGCCTCCCGCTGCCGCCAGCTGCGGAGCGGTGTAGCGCTGGTAGGCGCGGGTCATGAAGGGCTCGGTGAGCAGCGGCTCGCGTTGGAGGAGCGGCTCGGGCGTTTCGACTGAGGGAAGGGAAAAGAAGAAAATCCAATGTGTGGTGTGATAGTGGTAAACTAGCTGACAAGCCCTGATGGAAAATGCATGAGTCGAGCCGAACTGGTGATTGGGAACAGGTGGGGCATGTGGGGCATGTGGGGTAGGGTTTAGGAGGTTGTCAGGAGGTTGTTGGCATGGGGGAGGCGGTAGCGACGGGGGCGTGCGGGCATGTGGGTTGGGGGTGTTGGGGTTGAGGAGGAGGAACGGTTGAAGGGAGACGGATGCTGCAGGATAGCAAGCAATTAGGTAGAGGGGGCCATGGGCGGGCAGCGGGGGCAGCACGAAGCCCCAGCCCCTCGGTAGCACTCTCCCTCCCCTCCTCTTTGTTGGCTGCCTCGTCAGCCTCCTTAATTTTCCCGTCCTCTTCCAGTCCTCTGTCCAATCTCCCTGCCCACGTCTGGTGTTCTGTTCGCACCTGTTGGGTTGGGGAAGCTGGCCAGCGGGATGGGCCCCTGCAGGCTGAGGCAGTAGCGCTCCCAGTCGAAGCCGCTGCACTCCACCAGGAAGCGGTACAACACCTGTGTATGACAGGGGAAGGGAAGGGAAGGGGAGGCAGCGGGGATTACTGAGGCTGGGTCTGCGTTTGGCTGGATTATAGGAGAAGGTGTAGGCAGCAGGGTGATGGGCAGCAGGGTAAGGAGGGGAGGCAGGGGCAGCGGGGAAAACAGTGGTGCAGAGGCATGGGGCAATGGAGGCAGCAGGCAGTGTGTCAGTTCATAGCAGCTCGGTTGAGCAACCCACCGCCCATCCTCCACCATGTTCCCCCCGAACCGCCACCCCCGGTCATGTCCTCCGCCACCCCGTATCATCCCCAACCCCTGCTGTCGCCCCCCCGCCCCCCCCCCGCTTCCCACCTGCAGCGGGTTGGTTAGCTCCCGGTGGTGCAGGTTGATGACGTACAGCACCAGCGTCTCCAGCGCGTAGGTGGAGATGAGGCCGTGGTGCGCACCCAGCACGCGGCTCTCGTAGTAGCACCAGCCCTTGACCTGAAGAGATGGGGGGAGGGGGAGGGAAAGAAAGATAAGGGGAGGCGGGGAGGAGCGGGGAGACGCGGGGAAGGGAGGAAGGAAGAAGGTGAAGAGGAGCATGGTTGTTTACGATACGTGGTGAAAACCCCTCAGGAGAGCCCCCTGCACCTGCCGCATGCTTCCCGCCCCACCTCTCCTCCCTGCCCTCCCCCCCACCTCCTCCCGCCCCACCTCTCCTCCCTGCCCTCCTCCCCACCTCCTCTCCCCCCACCCCTTCCCCCTCACCAGTATGATGCTGTCCTTGAACAGGTGCTTGCGCGCCGGCACGCACGCGTCCACGAACCTGTCCACGTCCTCCAGGAAGTTGTAGGTGTTGAGGCCGCCCAGCTGGAAGAAGGAGATGTCCACCACGATGTTGTCAACCAGGCACTTGAGAAGCTTCACCTGCGCGCGGGAGGGGCGGGGAGGGGGTCAAAGTCTCAAAGACCATACCGAACCGTAGGAAACCACGGGTTGGGGCAAGACAATGGGTATAGGAGGTGGGAAAGGTGTTTGGGGGTGGGGGTTTAGGTGGTTGGGAGGGGCGACCTAGCAGAGGACAAGCTACCCGCAGTGGCAGGTGGTTTGAAGAGGGGATGTGGGTGGAGTGCACGTGCATTCCCACTACCATCCCGGTGCTGTCTTGTCTTGGCTTGCGGCAACCCACCTCTGCATGAATCACTTGCACGTTGGCAACCCGGAATACAGCATTCGGGTTGTTGGCCTCATCCTCTAGGCAGAGCTGCAGCTGCGTGGCCCATGTATCCCGCAGCGCCTCCTTGAGAGACTGGGCGCGCGGGCTGCTGCTGTAGATTGATAGATCTATATCACCGTCCGGCAAGTAGGTCTTTAGGGGCACTGAGCCAAACGGCACCGCTGTCAACTGCAAGTAAGGGGCCATGCGAGTTCCGATGCATCAAGGGATTTAGGATTCGTTTACGCTGGTGTAAACCGGAACGACGCATAATGATCGTCAGGATGTAGGAAGTAGAAGGCACCGCGTACTCACATCGTGCGGTGCAAAGCAACGCTTCACAAGGGACGTCACATGCTCCGTGATAGCCCATCGCCGGTGGAGAGACAGCTGTGTCGGTCTAATTCTCGATATAAGCGTATCAGTACGCGCAAGGAGCTCATCCGCAAACTTCGGCTGCAAACTTTTTAGTTGCTGCGGATTGCTGGAGTATGGCTGGTTAGACACTTGCTGTAACGCCATGTTCGCAACACACTGATCTCACATAACACAAGGCGAGATCGGGACAATGGGTCTATTCCTTCGTCTGTTGGCCAATGAAGCAACGATTAGACAACTAAATCGGCGGGATTACCGGTTTGCGGTGTGCAGTATTAGAGAAATCGTATGTAGACTGTAATGAACACCATCTTTAGCGCCCTCTGACTGTATGCGATTTGCCGTAAATCACCGAATTTGCACGATGAACGAAGTGGTATGGTTCCTTACACAAGATCACATCGATGTGATAGCATTTTAACTTATTTACGCATACCACCTGTCATACGCGGCTCCTCACGCACTAACTTGCCTCGCCTTGCCTACATCGCTCTACCTTACGCACCAGCGTCGCGATCGCAAGAACATAGCCCCCCAATTAAGTTTCATTTGAAGTTTCATTTTCCGTTAAACTAAGAGACCTTTCCTTAGAAAGCCATCAGTTTACCGGTATCCATCATGGTCAATGCTTCAGGATAAGGTCTGCGTCTAAACATATACCCGGCACAGTATCAGTATACACAAAGGAATCCGCCATGGCGGAACGAAGGCGTGGGAGACGAATAGCCGTCCAGCTGTCGTCATGGGGGCCATGGCTACTGCCCTTTGTAGTGCTTGTGGCGCTGCTGGCTCTTCGGAAGTCCATAGGTGCGCTTTACACAGACATGTATTATGTGTCAAGCACGTGGTTCCAGCTGTCATCCAGTCAGAGCGACGTACGCTGGAAAAGCACATTTTCCAACAACCTCACCCGCTTTCCGGCTTTACCAGTTCTGCGCCCCCTGCCCCTTCCCCCTTGCAACACTACCGGCCCTACAACCCCCTCGCCCGACATCCACCACCCGGCCAACTCAACCCCAGTTCAAGTCATTTCCGACGGTGCTTCTGGCGGCGCCAAGTCACCATCATCACCAGCAGCAGCGCTCGCAACCACCTTGCAACTAGGCGCTGCATCTGCTAATGCTACCGCTGCTGTGCCTACCGCTGCTGCCGCTGTTGCTTCATCTGGGTCGGCGGCCAAAGCGGGATCTGGCGGTTCCGGGGCCAGGGTCGACGCGCCCCGGCAGCAGCGGGCTGCGAGGCACTGCAGCAACACGTGCTTCAAGGTACGGTACGGCAGGGGGGCGGCTAGATGTAGGTCGAAGAGTTGGGACGGGTGGGTGCTACACCGCATGGCTTGTGTCTCGGGCGTGGGCACCATCGACCTGTGGGCACCCTCCGTCTCCCTGCCCTGCAGGCAAACGATGGCGTTTGTGACGAGGGGCGCCCGGCCACCCCGGAAGGAACCACCGCCGGGTCTCGTAGGAGCTTGCATGGAAGCCAGCAGCATGGGAGCCAGCTGCAGGGCCAGGGGCGGAGGAGGGTCTTGGGAGTTGAGGGCAACAAGGAGGTTTCGGAGCTGTTGTGCGATCTCGGGACGGACTGCAACGATTGTGGCCCATGGGTCGGCACGGTACCGGAAGGCTGGTGAGGGCGCCGTGGTGGTTTTGCGGTACCGGCACGGGAGCATAACCGTCAGGCAACGCGTACCCGACCCATGGGTCGTTGTGCCATCGGAAAGCCTGTACCACTCTGTACACTCGTTTTCTGCTGCGGATAGGACATAATGTGCTGATGATGTACGTGTGGGCCGTTTCACATTGGAGTCTTACAAACCTCCTTCTCACTGCCATCCCGCTACCCTCACTCTCTCCTCCTTCCTCCCCCTCTACCCCTCCCTCTCCTCAGGGGCCCCGCCGCCGGTCCCGTGTCCTGGCTCCGCTCCACTCACAACGCCTCCATGTTCACCCGCCGCACCACCACCCCCCGCCCCTTCCGCGCCGCCATCACCCACCACTCGGCGGACCCCGACGTGAGCGCCATGATCTGGCACTACGGAGCCATGGAGGGTGGTGTCACACGGGTGGGTGTGGGTGGGTGGGTGGCGTGGGTAAGAAGGAAGGAACGAACTAACCGTGAAGCAAGGGTGGGAAGCTTGGAGAAGTATAGCTTGGGCGAGCAACCCAAGGTGATAACAACTTTGTACCTACCTACCCTAGAACAATCGGTGTGAGTGTGGGTATTCCTCTTCCTCTCCCGCTCACCGGCCACGTGGTCAACACCGGTCCCGTAACCAACAGATCGTCAACGCCGTGCTAGACGGCCAGTGCGTCCTTTCCGCCGGTGTCGACAGCAGCAGCGGCAGTAGCAGCGGTAGCGGTGGTGATGGAGGAGGCAAGGCGACTCGGGAACAGCAGGGGCAGCAGAGGAGGAGGCTGGTGATCGACGTGGGTGCCAACTTTGGGTATTACACGGTCCAGGCGGCCCTGTACGGCTGTCATGTGGTGGCGTTTGAGCCGGTCCGCAAGTTCCGTGCGTACCTGGAGTGGTCGGTGCATGCGGCGGGGGTGGCGGAGCGGGTGCATGTGGTGGGGAAGGCCCTGGGGGATGAGGCGGATGCGGCCGGGGGAGGTGGGCAGCAGCAACAGCAGCAGGAGGAGGAGGAGGAGGCAGGAGGCGACGGAGCAGGAGGAGCAGGAGGAGCAGGAGGAGGAGCAGGGCGGTTGCGGCTGGTGGTACCTCGGGACGGAGCGTACTGGGGACTGGCCTCGGTGAATGGTGTCAACGTGATGCCCAAGGAAGGTGGGGAGGCCTGGGGAGGGTGGAGGAACGGGTGACGTCGTGTTGTGCCCAATGCATGTGGGGCTTGTAGGTTGGGGTGTTAGGGTGCGGCCGTATCGCGGCTTCAGGTGGGAAGAGGGAAAATGCTTGGGGGGGAGAGGCCCTCTAGATGGAATCACTGTAGCGGCCGCATGGGGCTGTTTCCATCCGTGCAGCCCTCGGGACCCCCTCCGTCTCCACCTCTTCCTCATGCTGCTTCCCCCTTCCGTCTCTCTTGATCCCCCCCCCACTCTTTACTCCTCCTTGACCCTTCCTCCTCCTCCCTTCTCCCACCCCCCCACCTCCCTCTCCTCCCCAGTCCTGGGGTCCGTGACTGTCCCCGCCACCACGCTCGACCGCTGGGAGGAGTGGGCGCCGCCGGACGTGCTGCCGCAGGACCTGCTGCTGCTCAAGGTGGGGGCGGGCTCAGGAGACAGTGTGTACGACATGTAAAGCTATAGAGTTATACACATGCCTAAAGTATTGTCAGTACCATGTTCTTGTTGCTCGGATATGAGAGGTGCTGCTAAAGGTGGGCGGCTAGGGTTAATGCTGCGGTCCTTTAAGAGGTCTTAGCTCCTGTAATGGTCTCTAGTGCCATGTGTGTTAGCCCACACCACACGCCATGCCAGCTGAGCGACCCCGCACGCTGCTTGTCCCCCCTCCCCCCGTGGAATTTCTTTTTTCCCCCCGTGACGACCCATGGGTCACAGCTGGACATCGAGGGCTGGGAGGCGCCCGTGCTGCGGGGCGGCTCCCGGCTGCTGTCTCAGCACGGCGAGAATGTACTGCTGGAGTACTCGCCAGGTGGGGGGGGGCGGAGGTGGGCTGGGAGGCGGGAGGCGGGCTGGGAGAGGGCAGGGGTGGGGCCCGAGGGGCGGACTTTGGCTGCTGCTGACATGGGAATGCTCTATCTTACCCCCCCCCCCCCCAATCCTCATCTTTTCCTCCTCTCCTCTCCTCACCCTCCCGCCCCCTCCCAGGCATCTTCGAGCGCCTCAACCACAGCGACCTCGCCCCGCAGGCCGCCCTGCCCGCCTCCCTGCTCTCCCTCGCCCGCGCCGGCTTCTCCATGGCGCACCTGCCGCTGTTCGCCTTCGCGGCTCCCTGGCCGCCGCGACCCATCGACCCCGCGGAGCCGCTGCCGGTGCTGGAAGAGGTGACGGCGGCGGCGCTGGGACATGACCTGGAGGCCATTGAGTTCCGAAAGGTAGGGGGTAAAGATTAAAGAAGGAAGGCGGAAGAGAAAAGCGTGTGTGAAAGCTGATGACTAGGGGCGAACGGGCAAGGCTCCCTCCATCCGCACCTCCACAGCTGATGGGTGCAATATCGGTAACCTAACCCTCCATGACCTCCAACCCCTATAACATTTACAGCCCGATTAAGCCCAATTACGAACATTACCCCAACTCACTTCCCACAGGCCATGGCCAGTTCCTCCCCCGACACCTGCCCCGTACCTCCCGAGCTGCCCCAGCGCTTCCCCGTGTGGCACTCCTGCCGCCACGAATGGACCTACACCACCCACCCGCAGGTGAGGGCGTGATGGGCGGGGTGGGCCGGGCCCGCTCCGGCTACCCCATGTTTGCACGATTGCACGATTGCACCCCATGTGTGAAGCCGACACTTCGTACTGCTCGTCCGTTTCTTCCTTTTTGGCTGCAAGTGAACCCCCCTTGGTCTTGGAGCACCCCTGTCGCCTCCTCCTATATCTCCTGCGTCTTGCTCTCACTTGGGGATTGGTGTGTTTCTTCCTGTTTTGCTTTTGTTTCTTCGGCACCCCCATCCCACCCCTGAATCCCACCCCTGAATCCCCGCAGGGATTCCGGTCGGCATTCGGCTTCAACACCAACGTGTGGGCTGCGCGGCGGGGCAGTCAGGCGGCGCGACAGCACATGCGGCTGGCCGGGGTGGCGGCGCTGTTTGATGAGGCACAAGACATGCGGGTGAGGTGGAGGGGTGGGGTGGTGAGGTGCGGTGGGGTGTGAGGTGTGGTGAGGTGTGTGGTGTGGTGGGGTGGGGTGAGGACCGGTGCGAGTATGTTTACTGTGCATGGAGGATTGAAGGGTTCCAGACATGTGAAGCCTACAGCTAGTGGCGTAGAGCACGTGTGCGCTCTGCGGAGGAGGACTGCTGATGAGGTGTGGCGGCACCAGGCTTTGTGCCTGTCTTTTCACTCGGTTATAGTGCTCCTCATTATAGAGACGGACTTCACCCTTCTCTCAGCCCATCCGTCGGCACATCCACCCAACACACCCCGCCCCGCCCTGCCCCGCCCCGCCCCGCCCCCTCCTGCTGTCCTCCTCCTCTTCTTCTCGGCAGGTGTGGACCTCCCAGTCCCGCCCCGGCACCGCCATGGGCCTCATCAACTGCAGCCAGGTGGGGTCGGGGCACCTGCAGCTGTTCCGGTGCCCCTGTCCGCCCGGGGCGCCAGCGGGCTGTGCGGAGGAGCAGCAGATGGTGGCGAAGCTGGCGGCGGAGGGCAAGATGCCCTTCACGGCTGGTGTGAAGGGGAGTTAATGTGAGAATGTGAAGAGGGAATGTGAAGAGGGAATGGCTAACGGACCGTGTGACAAGGCGTTAGGGGGGGGCTTGGTGCCGGTATGAAGGGGTGAGATGGGAGTGAGAGTGAAGACTGCGGAAGGGGGGGGGCAAGGAGGCAGCGGCGGTTGGGGCTTATGGCGTTCACGGGCTTCTTGCGTACGTGGATAACGTACGATGTCGCGGTTAAGGGGTCTGAAAGAAGTAGCGGCCGAAAGGTGTCCCTGCGTCTGCTTGCTCGTGATTAGAACGCTAGCTTGGTGAGCTGCGGCGTCGTGATTGGTGTAGGGCGTGTTGGGTACCGCAGGGGAGATGGGCAGAAGGCGGTACCTTGTTCATGGGTGGTAGCACCGCCTGTTGTGTCTTCAGCTCTGCAACCGGTACGGTACGTCCTGTGACCCGATCATGTACTGATCCATGTCATTTGCGTATCTTGCGTTCATTCATACGGCGAAAACGATTCTTCGTGACATTCGTTTATTGTATATTCCGGGGAAAAAGGAAAACACTCCTAAACATTTTCGGCGTGTGGTGGGTAGAACGCTACGGTTTGCGGACGGGGGAGGAGCTTCCTGGTGTTTCATGTGGCAGCCCTGTCGCAGCCCTGTTGCAGGCGCAACACGCCGAAGCATGGCGTGAATGGCTGCCCATGGCTCACAGGTCTGCAGGCGCCTGCTTGCATGCCTACCACACAACCTGCCACACCACCGTAAGTCCATGCCCCGCAATTACAACTGCCTGTGTTGTAACCTCCTGCTGGAGGAACCCCACCACACACACACCACTTCCGACATCCCAGTATGTTCCTACTCGCGGCCAGTTATTTTAACACACCAGAAGTGAACCGAGCCAACCATCCGGGGAGGCAAACCCCATGGTTTGCAAACACCATTGCTTGTTTCTACGAAAGCCAACAGATCGCCCAGCAGGCTGCTAGCGGCGCCGGGCAGCGCCCAGTTACAACCCTTGTCACTTGAGTGTCTGTCACCTGCTACTACATAGCACAATACCCTGCTTTAGCTGTTCTTTGACTACAGCCCGCTACAGCATAACATGATTGAGAACATGGTTACTATAATCCTCGGGAGCTCGTACTGCCAGCATACCGCTCCTACGCCCCTCCCGCTCCGAAAGCATATGCCAAGCTCCACATGAACAGCAGCAACAGGCGCTGCACACAGAACACCGTCGCCATGCATACCCATCCCCATGCGTAGTCCGTCCATGCAAGGTTATGCTGCAGGCAGGACATCCTTACAGTCCCCGGCGTCCCCATTCCTGACCCGCCACCACAACACCCTGTTCCATCCGTCCTTTCTACCACAATCCAACTACCCCTCCCACGCCCCATGCCTGCTCGACACCAACCCCAAGCCAACGCGCTGGCGCGCCGCTCACTCCGTCATACCCAACGACTGGCCAGACGCCACCGCTGCTAGCTGTTGCGGCTGCTGTTGCTGCGGCCCACGCCCGCGCTCGCCGTTGCCGCCACCGCGGCTTCTTCGCACCCACCATCGCAACACCGATGCCCCAATCGCGACCACAAGGCCCAACTGGAAGGCCCGCGAGCGTTGTCGCTGCTGCGCAGCCAGCCGCTGCGACAAGTACTGCTCCTCTAGGTAATCATCACGGTAGCTTGTTACTGGGACGGCTGACGCGCTAGCTGTAGACTCTGCCAGCGTGTCAGAGACTGCTGTTTGTGAGGAGGTGGCTGCGGCTAGCGCGCATGGTGTTGCGGCTGAGAGAAGCGCTGGGCATTGGAATTGAGGATTGGTGAGGTTGTCGTACTCGGTTTCGCTGGTAGAGGGGAGGGCCGCCTGCGATGCTGCAAGCATGGCTTCGCGTTCCGAGAAGGTTGGAATGGTGGAGGAAGAAAGCTGCTCAAGGCTGGACTGGGCATCGACGTTGTCGCCAGCAGCATTCTCGCCGCGCGCCGCGCGTAGCCTGTCGACGCCGTGGTGGTAGGCTTTGAGTTTGAGCCAATTGACGTCCTCCGTGTCGGCATCCTCAACGAGCGAGCGCTTGTAGCCCACCCATTCGCGTTCACGAGCGTCGGGAGTGTGCTGCTCAACCTCCTGCAATTGCTGCGCGAGTTGCGCCAGACTTTCTACGGCTGCATCGCATGCTGCTTGTGACGGGGGCTGCAAGATCGCCTCTTCAGACGGCTCTACCTCGCCGAATTGGGCCCCTTTCCGACCAAGAGTCCGAATCAGCTCCAGCGATGCCTCAGAGTAGTCACCTCCAAACTCAGCAGCTACAGAATCTTCACTATCCGGTTCATCCCGAGGCCGGGCCTTTATCGCCGGCGCTGACATGCTGTTTTGGGTCTACGTGTTAAGTTTGCAAGGATAATTCCGCCGAAACAAAGTTTATGTTATTTAAGGTAATTCCATTACATGTTTTCTGCGCAAGGACCCTTACGCATGCACTGATCTGGTGTGGTACTACACCAATGAGCCAGGCACCATTGCCGGCATTCTTACCTAACCATCCATACCCAAAGTGTGTAACTGGTCGATGCGCTGTTGAAGTGCATCTATCGCCGACGACATCGACTGAGTACCGGCAAAATGTCTGAAGACTTAAAGGCAAAGTTCCGAGCAGCTGCTGCCCAACGCGGCTTGCCATCTGTAAGTAACGTTAGCTCCATTACTAGCATCTTACCACAGGCTCCTTGAGCTCTCAGCTGCTGCGGTTAACCATTACTGCTAACGATGTTGTTCCTTCAACTCAGGCGAAGGATCAGCTTAAGGCGATTCGCGCTCAAAAGGCGGCTTCAGCAGCAACGGTAAGCGTAGCCCCGAAACTAATCATTGCACTGCAACCCCCAGCCTGTTGACGCCTTGGCTGCATGCCCACAGGCAGCTGGCCCGGGGCCCTCTTCCCAGCGCCTGCAGCAACAGCAGCAGGGGCTGCAGCGGTCTGCCCCACCGCAACAGCAGCAGCAGCGGCCAGGAGCAGCGCCCGGCTCTTCTGCTGCAGCATCACGACCAGCAGGGGCTGCAGGGCTCCCAGCGGATTTCTTCCAATCTGGCTCCAAGGTACTAGGGCACCCAGGCAGGGGAAGTACCTTTTGCACGCTTTGCGGGCACCATGCGGGGTTGCCAAGTGCTTCCAGATGCATCTACATGGCTGGGCGACCGGGGCCTTGTGTGAGGTCTGCATCCGAGCCTCGTTCCTTCTGCCTGGACCCTGCAGCACCCACCTGCCCACCTAAGTTCTTACCCCTTCGTGGAACCCTATGGATCGTGCACGTGACGCAGGCTCCCGCATCGGGCCCAGCTGCTGCCGCTGCTCCTGCTGCAGCCCCGCCCGGCGGGGGAGCAGCGGCCGCCGCCCGGGGCGTCACCGCGGCGGCAGTGGGGCCGTCCTCACAGGCGCTTGCACAGCGGCCGGCAGGAGGTGGTGGTGGAGGTGGAGGTGCTGGAGCAGCAGCAGCGGCGGCAGCGGGAAAAGGAGGAGGTGGAGGAGCTGCTACTGTTGTGGCGGCGCTGCCAGAGGTAGGTTGAGGGGGCGGGACTGGGTCTTGAGTGACTGGGTTGCTGGGTTGTGATTGGGGGTATGGTGGCCTGGGACCGGTCTGTACGACCACGCGTTCTCGGCAGGTACCCTCATCCTCTCGGTCCCGCTCCCGCACACCTCCCGCCTGCCCCCTCTCCCCACGCAGGGCTTCTTCGCTGACAAGGCTGCTGACGCCAAGGCCCGCGGTGTGCGGTTGCCCACTGCGGAGGACAAGGAGGCGGAGTTCCGGGCCTTCACCGCACTCATAGACGAGGAACTCAAACAGCAGGTGCTCGAGGGGGGGAGGCGTGAGGGCGGGGAGTGCGGGGACGGCGACTCAGCAGTGCAGTTCTGCCGTACCAACTGCCCAAGCCTGCCGTACCGCCATTCACTAACCGTGTAGAGACGCGTGAACGCCCCTTCCTCCCCCCTCCAGGCTGTTGAGGAGGCGGAGGAGGCCGAGGAGGAGGCGGAGGAGAAGGCAGACCGCGAGGCCTTCCTGCTGAGGTGGGGATTGGGTCGTGCACAGCATGTTCCCTCCCAACCCCACCCACACCATCCACATCCCCCCTCCCACCACCACCACCACCTCCACCTCGCTCTCCTACCCCCCACCCCCCCAGGCGCCAGCAGGAGCGACTGGAGCTGCTCCGGCGACGCAAGCAGCTGCTGGCGGCCAAGACAGCAGCAGCAGCAGCAGCTGGTACGACAGCTGGTACGACAGCAGGTGCTGGCAGCAGTAGAGGTGCCGTACAGCTGGAGCACTTGCCTGAGTTGCCAGCGGATGAGGAGCTCCGAGAGGCTCCCCCGCCGGCCTTTGGCATGCCCTCCTCCTCAGATGATGAAGAGGAGGAGGAGCAGCAGCAGCAGGAGGTCGGAGGAGGTTTGGGGGCGGAGGGAGGAGGGGCTGCTGGTTCGGCAGAGCGGGAGGAGCAGCAGCGGCGGAGGCAGCGGCGGGCGGTGCCGGTGCTGCCGGGTAAGAGGCGGCGAGTGATTGATGCGCTGGCTGCTACGTTGGCTGCTTCAGATGGGGAGGAGGGGAGTGGCAGCAGTGCAGGAGAGAGCAGTGAGGAGGAAGGCAGCAGCGACGGAGGCGTTGGTGGGCTGAACTGGCGAGCGAAGCGGGTGTAAGAGTTGCCGGGGGAGGAAGGTGACGTAGCAGTTTGAGGGTGCGCTTGCTGGTGCTGCAAAGCTGATAGGAGAACGGTGAGTGGGTGGCGGGCCGTTTGGCGTCGTGGGATGTAAGGTACCGTATTTTACGAGAACGGTTAAGGGAACACTGGAAGGCGCCCCGGCGTGGGTTTGTTTCGGTTGTGTGACTGCTGGGCAGACCCACGGGTCAGTGCTGGTGGGCTGATGAGCTACTATACGATGGCACGGGCGGCACACATGGAGAGCTGCAGCGTCAGCGGTATATGTATGTAACTAGCCCCGGTCTGCAGTTGACAATGCTGGTTTCTGCGGCTACTCCTACTTTGCAGCACTGGTGGGAGTCTCAGCAAGTCCTGTTGTTGTCGTGTTGCACGGCGTGCAGCAAGATCATGACTCGTGTCATCTGTAGCTGAAGTTATGATCGCTCACAGCCGTCTTGTAATACCGACACCGGTCAGTTGTCATGGTGATGGCACACTGTCGGCCTTTGCCTCGCCGGCCTTTGCCTTTTCCAACCCAATTTCAACTGTTACAACAATGCCGCAACGAGCTTACGGTGGTACCAACAACCATCTGCCGTCCCCTTCATGGCTCGAGTCAGGGCTAGGGGCCCTCCTAATCCGCAAATACCCATCCTCAACGCGAGTACCGGTGTTAATTGAAACGACACACGCTTCAACACGCAATGCAAGCCGTAACACGCAATACAGCGTTGGTAGGGCCGGCTGCCTCCCACTGCATACTCGACTTCAAAGTACCGCTAGAAAGGAGCACAAACTTCGTCGCACTTCTGCCGCTGACAGCCAGCCCATCTCCTATAGTGCACTAAAGCACCACAGCTCCCTAGCAGCAATCCTCCTTTCCGTACCCTCCTGTGGCTGCGGCCGAGCCATCGGGCGGCATGCCGAGCCGCCGGCCTTGCTGCTCCTGCTGCTGCTTCTCCCCCTGCTGCTCCTGCTGCTGCTTCTCCTCACGGTCTTGTTGTACGACATCTTGGACTAGCTCCTGTACGGCACCTGGCGCCGGCTCCCCCGCCTTGAGCTCATCGCAGCCGGTGACGATGCCCTGTGGAGCAGTATGGGTGCCGGTGATGGCGGCAGCAGTAGGAGGAGGTAAGGGAAGGAGTACGGTACACGGTTGGCGGGAACGGCTTGGGTTAGGATTAGGCTGACTGGCTCATGTGTGACGGCGACGCAGCGGGTATGTACTAGTTAGCGGCAGCGACAAGGGATTTGCGCGATCAATGCGGGTCACGGTAGTGCCTACATAATTCCGTGAGCCTGAAGCTGTGCCCCACGGGTCACAGGGATGCGTCAAATGCTTATCAGTGCGTATCCGCAAAGTCAGTTTACACGTTTGCAAGACCGAGCGGCTTTTATTGCCTGCTCATACCTGTGTGTCATCAGCGCTCTGCGTGTGGGGATTCCCGGAGCCGAACTTGCTTGAGGGAATGGATTCCGGGTCTACACGACCCTCGTGCGAGCCCATTGTGAGGCGAGAAGACCTAACCTTACTGCAGAAGAAGGTCCGTGTGAACCGGGAGGCGATTAGGGGCTTGGCTCCGTGGGGGTTGCGGTGAAGCAGGATTCGGTTGCAAAGCATCCTCCCTACAGGAACAGGGTGTTGCTGGAGCACTATAGAAGTATGAAGGGCTACAGCGAGATACAAAAAGGTGACGAATAACTGTTACCGTGATGCGTATGGTCAGATGTGGCCACAGACGTGAGTCATATCAGAGTACGATCCCGGGACGTGGCGCGAAGCTTTGACAGCTCAATGGATGCACACTGTTTTCACGTTCACACTTACAAACCCACTGACACGCAATATCGTAAGGAATGCACATATATGTTATAGCAACAGCGTTAGCGGTCCTTATTAGCGTACCAACATGTTGGAGCCTCGGCGTTACAGGATTAGACACAAAGCTTCAGTCAATTACTTCAGAGGGACCCATTGTTCCATGGTTGCAGCCAGCAAGTTGGGTCCCTGCATATGCGGAGAAGTTCAATGACTTGGATGGACTGCTAAAGACCCGTGCAAGCTCTGACCGATGGGTAACAGTCTTCTGTTTCTCCTTACCGGAGAATCGTACTGGAAGTGCGGAGGAGGCGAGCTTTATGCGCTTGGCGCTGAACACGCTCTACTCTTACCGGACGTTTGGCCAAGCTACGTTTGACATTGTGGCGGCAATCAGCCCAGCAGCTTTGTCAGAATGCAGAAAATTCAGGCTACCATGCTTCAACGCCTCCCGCTACGCGACGGATGCCCGGTCCTTTAAGAACATAAATTGGGCTAAAGTCAAGCTAGCGCGTGACGTTCTGAAACTGGGTTACAACGTCCATCTATCTGACTTGGACGTGAGCTACCTCAAGCCTATCCCGCTGGCTATACAAGAGGTGCGCTTCCTTGTCGCTTCAACTCCAATCACCCAACCGCCCAAGCTATGCACCTCCCTGTTGCATCGCTTTGAACTACGGCTACCTCTTAACCCCCCTGGCCCCTTCCCAACCCGCCTGTGCAGATCTTTTCATGGAGCAATGGCGCCGCCGACTGCAGCATGATGCAGGAAGAATGGGTGCACCAGGACAATCCTGATGACGCCGCCAGCCGGCGCCCCATCTACCTCGCAAACACAGGCGCGGTCTTCCTGCGCTCCAACGACCGCTCCGTGGCTTTCCTGGAGTCGCTGCTGCGCTGGGAAAGCGACCAGAACCAGGTAGGGCGAAGGTTGATATTGCGCGCACACGTACCCCTACCTCGCCCGCCCATACCCGCACCTCCAAAGCCACCACTTGAACCCTCCTCACCCTCGCCACCTCCCCGCCTCAACACCCGAAACCAAACCCGAAAACAAAAACCAGGAACAATACATGGCCACCGTCGTCGCCTACGAGTCCTGGGCGCCCTGCTCGGAGGAGGCCACCTGCCTAGCCATCCGGCACCGGGGCATGGCCGCCATCACGCGCCACCCAGCGCAGTTCCCACACAACAACTGCGCTCCGGAACCACGTTACCGACACTGCGCCTCCCGCCGACTGTATGTGCACGCTGTGTGCCGAGCCAGCAGCCAAGACAAGGAGGGCTTCCTGCGGTCGCTGCATGCGATGTTTATCCGGGATGGTGGTAATGGCGGTGGTGGGGGTGGCGGGGTTGAGGTGGGGCAGCAGGATAATGAGGAGCTAGCGGCGAGCGGGTTGCCTTGTCCTGCGAGGCAGCAGCGCGCATGGAGGGAGAGGTTTTACAGCGCTTATACATCGGAGGAGCAGCAGCAGGTGGCGGAAGAGGAGGTGGTGGCTGGTGGGGGTGAGAGTAGTGAGGAGAAGGTAGAGGGCAACGCTAGCGCCGGCAGGAAAACGGGGATGGGTGCGGCTGCTGGTGACGGTACGACAACAAGTAAGGCGGTTACGAATACGGCGGTTGTACAGTTGGATGCGGGGGCTGCTGCGCTGGCCGCCAAGCAAATGCAAGAGCGTCAGGACTCCAAGCGGCCTCCTGCTGCTGCTGCTGCTGCGTCGAGGCCCGTGCATCGCAGGCCGCGGAAGCTTGCTGCCTTTCCGTAATGTCGTCCCGGCCTCGTTGGTTGACGTTTTAGATTGCGTGGTCCTTCCCTTCCGTGAGGTTGTGATTTGGTTATGATTGCGTGTATGATAAAGTCTTATCTTTCTGTGGACTGTACTTGCTAATGGTAATATGGTGTAGACGTAGGAAGCTGCTGTCAGGAATAAGCGCCTACTTGCGCTGTAGTCACCAGGGTCACAGTAAACCCGGTTTGGTGTCCTAGGTAGGTGCATGCTTTGTTTTCACTAAGTACGGTAGTAGACATTGCGTTCATTCTTTAGAAAACTAGAACGCTGATATACACCGTTGGTAGCTGGGTACCGGTATGTCGTATAGTGATAGTGGTAGGCATGTCGCTGTGCGCGTTTGCATGTCATAGGGTGCAGCTGATGCCACGTTTGACCTCGTGAGATCGTGGCTTGCATGGGTTGTACGTTATGTACCTGAGATCCCTCCTTTATGCCGATCCTTAATAAGATACACCGCCTTTAGAGGCAGCCGCAATTGGCGTTTCGTTTTCTGTTGCTTGGTATATATTCTTTGAGTTTGCGCCAAATTAACGTTGGCTTCCAATCTAGAGGCTGTCGATGCTATTTATAATAAATGCACTGGTGCAGGGCAGGGAGTGATGCAGGCAAGCGTCTCATGCGGCTAGGAACAGCACGTTTGTTTTGCAAATATTGCTTTTGCCTTCCGGTTTAATGTACCCCTAGTATTCTTTGGTGCTGTTGTGATGGAAAGGACCCATGGCTTAAATGTTTGACCGAAACTTGTAGTAACGAGTTGTTGTACGTGTACGGTGTAACAGGTGATGTACGATCACAATTGCGCTTCATGGGCATTCCTGTACAGATGTTTGCGTTATGTGTAGGGCTGTCACGGCTCAGGCTCAGTAGTCGTCCGCATTAGGGATGATGGGTTGGGAGTATCATTGGACGAGTGTAGGACATGTGAGTTATGGGGCATGGTAAGCACGATTGCTTGGGTTGACATGTCAGGTTAGGACCTCTGAACCGCTGTTGCTAGCCATGGATATGCGCTTCTGGTGAGCCTGAGTTTGGTTTGTTGACGCCAGCGTATCACGGTATAGCTTTTCGCCGGCTGTGGACTTGCGTTATGCACCGTCCTGACGTGTTGTACGGCTTTCAACTAGGCCCATGCAAGGGCCCTAAGCTATTGAGAAAACGGGGTGGGCTATCAGAGGATGGTACCTCAGTTTCATCCCCTGGGTTGTCCTGTTGCGGTATGCTGCGGGGGAGCTGCTTGCACCTGCTGCGTTTATGTGCGGTTAGGCATGATGATTTGCATGCACGGTTTGCGGCTTTGGGTGGTGACGGTAATGGCAACATGCAAGGGTTACAAAGTTACAACTGGCTGGTTGTGCTGCAGCCTTGCTACTCAGGTCATGATGTTCCCAACTGGCCTGGTTAGCACGGAACACCGTAACAGGTCCCTGAACCCCAATGTCTCCACATTCTCTCCCTCTCTCTGTCTCCACACTTAACACTGGGTTGCACAGGCAGGGGTATGTAACCATTCAGAGGAGTGCTACCTGACAGTTGCCTTCCTGCGGTAAGCAGCTCGGCACAGCTCCTGCACTACATGATCTACAGGTAGTGGTACATGATGCTACTGGTAGTGGTGTGCAGCATTTCAGTCGCTCCAGTGCAGTGCAAACCAAAGAATTATGAAAAAAAACATTGCCTCTTGCCTACCTCAACACATCAACTTCAGGTGCGGCAGAGAGGGGCGCTAAGCGGCCTTTATCGTCACGGAACGACCTTCCTGTCGGTTTATATTCCGTCAACGGAAGCCTCTGTTCCAGTGGCTCCTGCTGTAGATGCGAGGCTAACCAGGCATCCTGTGCGACTCAATCATGTCTTCATGTGACTGCCCCTGCAGCAGCATGTCGTGCACAACACCTGCTGGAGGCAGGCAAACTGCACACCAGGCATGCAACCCAAAAACATGCAGATGCCCGGCTTATGATATGCCCAACCTACGAAATGCGCCCCAATTAGGGGGTTCTTATGATGCTCTTCATGCACCGGTACGGATTCTCTGTCCATCAACTCGTCCATGAAAGTATATTAGTTCCTAAAATCCTTGTCCAACGACAACCGTACAACATGTACCCCTGCATACCCGCCCTCAAGAGCTACAACATCCCCACTCCAGAAACTCCCGCATGCATGTCCTCCTTAATCTCCCTTCTTCTTCCCGCCATTACTCCCAGCAACCCCAGCCGCCACGCCTGCCGTACCACCCCCATTGTACGGCCTCAGTGAGGGAATGAGCGCGGGTACGGCCCTGCGGTACCGCTCGTACGGCTCCCCCATGTCCCTCACCAGATCCGCCTCTTCCAACGGCAGCGACCAAAGTACGAACGCGAGCATGTAGCACGAAAACAGCAGTCGACCCGCACTCTGCATGCATGGTGCCGGAGAGGGGGGGGGGTCAAAGACCATTCCAAACCATAGGAAACCACAGGTTAGGGCAAAGCAATGCCGGGTAGGGGGGGGGGGGAGGGTGCGGGGTTCGTCCTACACCGGTGCCGTGATACTGGATTTTGCGGGAAGGGGGTTTGAATGCTGCAGGGGGTGCTGCTTTAGGTTGACTTATAGGGTAGTATAGTATGAAGATCGAGGTTACATGCACGCCGGACCAAACTGCCCTGGAATTGTCAACAATCAAGCGCTGCGCTACGGTGCTATAGGGGCGGTTGATGACAAACCGGTAAACCAACAAGACGCCAGCACGCATGACCCACCATCGTCGGCGTGCAGAAGAGGTACATCAGCGAGCCCAGGTACATGGGGTGCCGTACAAACTGCAGACAGGCAGGCAGGCAGAGTGCAGATGGGACCGAAAGGCGGCAGCAAAGGGTCGGGAAACATGCATGCAGGAGCATGGCTTCGCAGCACTGCCAACACAAGAGCGAGAGCGTAAGTGTTAACGTTGTGCATAGACCGTAGCATGTCAACGTTGGGTATAGACCCCACGGTAACAGGATGTCGCACTCCAACCGGGTCACAGGCTTGCGACAGCATGGCCAGCCACAGCCTTCCACAACCCCCCCCCCTTCCTGGCAGCGCACCCCACATACCAGCGCACCCACCCCTTCCCTGGGCTCTTGCTGCTAGTCCAAACCTCCCAAAGTCCAACAGTCTACAGTCTATCCGACCTACAGCACCCAAGCCGCTGTGTCACGCGCCTCATTTACGCCCCCGCCCCCTCAGTTAGTTGTTTCCTCTTTATCCGCCCCCAAGCAACAGCCCGCCACCAGCCCGCCACCTGCCTACCTTGTAAGCTCCGCTGACCACCAGCGGCGGCGGCTGGCAGCCCTCCTCCCCCTCTCCGCCCCCCCGGAGCGCCTGCTTGAGACCGAAGAGCTCCGTGTGGTCCCAGGCGCCCGTGCTGCGAGAGGTAGGCAGGTAGGGTGTTACCGTTACCGGTACCGTTTCAGTTACCGTTATACAGTGACCATTATAGTTACAGGGACTCGGGGAGAGAGTGGTGGAAGTGAGTGGCGGGATAGAATGGTGGGAGCAGCAGCAGCAGTGTCAACAGCAAGGAGATAACGGTATGGTTGAAAACGTGTACGGTACCTTCCGAAGAAGACCAGGATTCCCAGGGCGCTGAGAGCCCACACGGCCTTATCGTAGGGCGGGCGAACTGCGGCGGCAAGCATGGGGGAAGTCGGACAGGGCTTTAATCAGTCCTGCTGCAGCCTGCTGTACCACAAATTGCACGACTCCATGGCGAATCCAGTTGCGACTAATGAGCCGGCCCCAAGTGCTTAGTGCTAGTGTGTTAAGAAAACTGGCCGCGAGTTGGGGCGTATTGTGATTGCCGGAAGATGAAGTCCCGGCAATCACCGTTGCTAGTGTGTGTGTGTGTGCTCAGGGGGAATGCAACATCCACACGCACATGCAATTGCACGCCTCCTCGGAGCGCGCGCACGCATGGATGATAAGGCGTACCTTGCCACACAGTCCAGGGCATCGGTTGCCAGAGGTACAGGATTGCGCCCAGAGCAGCGGAAGCGGACGCAGCGAATACGGAGCGTTCCCAAGGGAAGGGCACGCCTGCTTTGCGCATCGCCTTTTTCGTCGTTTGTCTTGCCATTATGTTATGCTGAAGCGCAAGCAGGCCCATAAGCCCTACGTTAAAGAATGCTTTTGCAGCTGTCCCGCTGGTGGCAAGGTCGATTGCTGGTTCGCCATCAATGCTTCGCGGGAAAATGGATGCCAGGGCAGGAAAAGCGTTCCCCCAGTTGTTAATCCAGGCCGCTGTGGATGCAACCGAGGCTATTGAGGCCAAGTATGCCGCGATGCCGAAGGCCTGACGAAGCATTCTTTGACAACCTTTGGTTACCGGTAGAGCAAGCCTTGGCGGGGCCCTTAATGCATCTTTAATAGAGTGTTGCAACGTACTGAATTTACCTTGTCGAGGGTTTCATGACTCAAAGTTACCTCGTTTGAAGTACGGATGTGACCGTTAGCGGCTGGGCGCGGGCAGTTGGCGAGCAAGGGCAAGCAGCAAATCTCCTCGGTCCGCCTTGCGCTCTTCAGCTTTCTATGTTACTCGCTTGATTACATGTATGATTTTATAGATTTTCTGTCTGGTGCCTTGTACGCTTTGAACGCTTTGCTGCCGTACTCAACAGCGCACGCAACACGTCAATGCCTGCCCTGATCCAAGCTCGTCGCGGTCAGACTCCTCCACCTCATGTATTGCATACTGACGAGAGCTCCTGGCTGCAAGCAAGCAGTGTACGGCAACAACGTACGACAGGGCCCTGTCAGCGTCCCTGCGCGGTGTGGTCTATGGCATCGAGTTCAATGCCTGGTTACGGCGGGGCGCCCCCTAGCACCCCCTCCATTGCAATGGTCATTCACTCCTCCAGCATGGTTGTGCTGGACCAGTAGTCAGCCCTCAGTAGTCAAGTTTGGAGTCATCGCCCAATGGCTGTGGTGCATTCCTAAGGTTCCCATCGTGCCCGAGTGGCAAGCATATTGGACACAGTCGAGAACGCATCTGTGACGAGCTTTGACAACGATCGGAGGAATAGGCATGGGTCGCCAACTTGCTAGAGTGCAGCACATTAGAGCCGGGATGGACTTCATCTTAATCATGGTTAATCAATCCTATATGTCGGTTGGGTTGCCTGAAAGCAGGAACTAAACACGCAGTAAACTTCTTGTTTTTCCGGTCGTCGGGACGCGCGCAATCAAAGTGCGCTCCATCTAATGCTTCCTGCAACATAGGAAACAACTGCGCTGGAATATCTGTAGAAAGGAATCTTGCGCATGCTCCAGCCGTGACCTTCAGCTACCATGCGATGGCCAGCCGGCAATTTACCGTCCGCAATCGGCCTTAACATGCATCGCTTATTTGGCTTTCAAGGTGTTCAAAATGTATTCTCAACGGGTATGGTTCTGGTTAGGACGTGATCAGTCGCATAGTGACACGACAGTTGCATTGTGTTCGTTAAGCCGGTTCGGTGGGCGCGACTACGACGGCATGGTTTCGCATGGCATCAACCAGATCTTTTGGTAAATGTGTTCATCCGCTTCTAGTTTAATCCCCTGTTTGAGCAATTTGGACGTCTTGCCGAACCCTCAGTAAGTTCGTACATGTTCGATAAACGAAGAAATAGCAATCAGGGCATCCTGCTCTTTGAGAGTGTCAACAGAGCAACATATGTCAATGGTAGTATTAGCTGACTCGTTTTCTTTCATCCACGTATCGCATATTTGCTTTAGCAGGGAAGAGCGGAAGCTTTGTCATTGTACGCACTACTATTAGTTGACGACCATCCAATAGTTAACGAAGTCAGTGTTTTTAGTTTGCGTTAGTGACGTGAACAACACTGATAGCTGCGACAACGTGCTTGCGGGTCGATTTTTGCTGGCGGGCGGCCTGCACGCCCCGAACAGTGATATATCAGAACCCAAACATTACCTGGCCTTTGGATCATCTCCAGAACATTCTTCCGCTTTAGTGCGATGCCCTCCACCATATTCGACCTCCCAGTGAGGTCGTTCCCGGCACCGGAATAGAACACCGATGCAAAACGTTTTCAGCGGTGCGATTTGTCCAGGTATGTACGCACCACATAGGCTTTCATTGCTTGCCCTACGGTTAGTGTTTTTGCTAGATAGGAAGCGGACCATGTTCATGTAGGACATCGTTTAGCTTTGTGCACACGAAGCTGAATGGTACATTACCGCACAGGAATGAATTTAAGCTGCCAACGCAGTACAAGGGCTGGTGTTTTGCAAGTGCTTGGCATTCGGATGCAGCCGACAGCTCGTCGCAACGCGGGGCTCTCCAGGGCGCAAACGCTTATAGGCTGTCTTCTGGTGGTGTGGCTTTCTTTGCTTCCAGGTGTGAATAGTCGGTTAGTTGCCCGGTGCAAGCAATCCTATTTTCTATACCCAGCCCCATGGGCTCTTACTGCGCCCATCCTCCTAACTTGAAGTAATTCCAATGGCCCAAATGCCGCAGTAATATGCCGTCTACAGGCTCCACAGCCAGAGCCCCACAACACTTCACACTAAGCTTCACCTACCCCCTTTCTGTGCTGGGACGTGCATCATAGGCTGCCTGGCCGGTCCGTTGGCCGGGACCGCATTCCCGTTCGAATCATGCGTCAAGCAACCAGGCTCCAGCCGTTATACAGTCGTCCTGAAGAATAACACGTGAGTCCTCCTGTGGTTCAGTCGCATACAGGGCTCCATTCATTCCGAAGGAAAGGGGCCCTCTTCAACGCATACCTGACCAAGCAACTACACAAGTTGCAAATGCATACCAGTATACACGCACCACTAATGTTTTCCACAAGGACCACAAGGAAGAGCAAAGGATGCGCCCAACCTCCCTCCCTCCCTTACCGTCCCCCTTTTGATTGCGGCGTCGTCAATGCAATCCTGCTCACCCCAGGTACGACGCCAGGACGAACACCAGCCGCGTGTGTTTCCAGTTGGGCATCCTTCCTGCGGACCAGTGCACGCCAAGCGGCTACCGTTGTTGCAACACAACCGTCCACAAGTTCAAGTTCTACCCAGGTTTGTTTTACTTGGGGTTTCCATGTATACGGCTTATGTATTTAATGTCATGATGAATGTACGGCACCACTCATGGATGGGGCTACAGGCCCTACAGCTTACAGAAAGGTATCGCAAGGCACGCCCGCGCCAACCCAGCATTTTTCCAGAAGGTGATATCTGATATGACTGACCAAGATCTTCGAAGGTGCCTGCCATCCTTTTGGCTACTAAGAGGCATGAGGCTCCTATGAGTACCGACGTGCCGGTAACTGCTCTGTAAGGACGGCTACAACCCTGGCTGGCCCGTGCAGATCCGGTCTGCCGGAGAGCCGCTTCAGAGCTGACTTACCAGGTTAGGAACGGACCTCCAGTGAAGATGGACGCCTTGTACTACGAAGGAGCGGACACAAAGTACATTGGGAAGGTCACGACCCTGCCCTTTAACATGACAAATTCGGATACTGGCGTACTATGTTGGACGCTCAAGGCGCCCTGCGCCACACTGTACGACTTCACGCATCCCGCAACCAGGGATCGCGGGCTGTTTGAGATCGCATTGTACGATTTCAAAACCAATAACTATGAGGTAGGTGGCGGATGCGGACGGAGCTGGCGTGTCATCGGGCTGCTGTGTGTTGTGTATGTGGCTGGGTGCATGGTTGCACCCACGCATGGGTTGCAAAAAAGATGCGAATTTCCGTCCTAACCTTGCCCAGCTAGATGTAACGCGCCTCCCCTCGCCCCTCGCCCCTCGCTCCCTTTTCCCGCAGTGCTGCCCGCTGGCAGCCGTCCCCAACGGCCTGCCGGTGCCGCCGGGGGTCTCCCTTGCGCCCCTGACCCCCATGGATCCACCCTCATCCCCATACACCGCCGTACCAGACATGCCCACACCACCCGACGAGCCCCCGCCACCCAATCAACCGCCACCGAGCCAACCTCCACCCAACCCACCACCACCTCCCAAACCACCGCCGCCAAAGGCCCCATCTCCGAAACCTCCATCTCCGCGTCCGCCACCCCTCCGATCACCACCACCACCACCTCCCAGCCCTCCTCCTCCCAGCCCTCCTCCTCCCAGCCCTCCTCCTCCCAGCCCTCCTCCTCCCAGTCCTCCTCCCCCCAGCCCACCGCCTCCCAGCCCTCCTCCTCCCAGCCCTCCACCGTCCTCACCATACCCACCTCAGCCCAGCCCTCTCATATCGCCACCACCGCTGGTGCCCCAAACACCACCTCTGGCACCTTCAAATCCAGCGGCTCGTGCTCCTTTGTCCCCAGCCTCCCCCAACCTCTCCTTGCCGCCGCCTCTATCCATCCCCAGTCCTTCCCGTTCTCCAGGACCGCCGAGCTCGTCACCGGTGCCAGCCTTTGCAGGTGAATGCTGCTGCATGGAGCCTTTATACTGTGACGTCCTATACCGCCAGCTGCCTGCCTCAATGCTGGTCCCTAATAACAAACATAGGAGCAGGTTGTAGGATGAGGACAACGTTGTGCATGTCAGGGCGGGGCTGGCGGGGCTGGCATGGGGCTTTCCTTTGATGATCCTGGCTTACATGTAACAGCATGCAACATTCCAAGACAAGCCAAAGCCCCCACTAGCCTTTCGACCGCCTGCGCCCTTAAGACAGCACACACACCAGAAGTCAACGGGAAGCCCATTCTCTTCTAAAAATAAAGATATCCATCGCAACTATTCCTGCCTTCCCATCCTTCCCTGCCTTTGAACCTGCCTGCCTACACCCCATGCAGTTCCTTCCCTCAGCGTGTCCCAGGGCTCAGCCCTCTTCAACCTCTTTTTGGCGCCGGACGAGGCGGGGCCCAGCTTCGACGCCGCCCGAGCGCGTTGTGGCCGTGGCGGCGGCACTCTCGCTTCGTTTCTAAACGAAGAAGAGTACACGGACGTGTGGACGCAGATACTAGCGAGCCAGTTCATGTACGTGTGTGTGTGCTGAAGGGGTACCGGGGTTGCCTCCAGGATGCATTCATGCGCCGCTGGTCAGAATGCACGAGCGGTCGAATAAGGCACATGAATCCAGTTGTAAGCCTTCTACCATTCTAAGGTAATGCGAACAAACATTTACGCGGTGGGCTTACGCATGCTATCCTTACTAACACCCTGTAACACCCTTACGCTGCCGTGCTCTCTGCATCGCACATACAGGGACGACTATTACGGGGAGCAGCGCCTGCTGCTGTGGGTTGGAGTGGACCCAAGCTCCAGCGGCGGGAGGTGGCTGGACGGCAGCCAGACAGGCGGTTACTGGCCCGCAGGGAGCGAGCCTCTGCAGGTGGGGGCAGGAGGGGCCAGGGTGTGCTTGGGTTGCCTTTGCCACTGGACCCAGCCGATATTTCGCTTTCCGTGAGACGCTGAGACCCCATGAGGGTAACGGTACTAACAAAAGTTGGCATGTCCTGGACGTGCGGCTGTGTGCAGGCCGGCACGTGTTATGCCCTGAACTGCGCAGCTAGCAGCTCGTGCACATTGGTTGCAACGGATTGCGACAGCTGGGCACCGCGTGGCTTCCTCTGCAAGACAAGTGAGCAACAAAGGGGTTGGCAGGTGGCATCGTTCGGGGAGTAAATCGTTCTGCCATGTACAAACCCAATGGTTGACCACCGTACGATTTAATGCTACCGGCATGGCGAACTCTTCCCGCATTCCTCATCCTGGCCCCGTCCTAACTTCATCCCAACCGCCCCTCCGCTGCCTATTCTGCGCCGTTCCTCAGACACCGATGTCGTCTCCTACGTGTACGGATCGGCAACTCTCAGCAAAACCTTCATCTTCAGTTCGTACGGCCTCATCAAGAACTCTGCTGCAACGTATTGCGGTTCATTGGGCGGACATCTCGTTTCCATGAACACCAAGGCCAAGTTTAACGAGGTCATCAAACACGTGACCTCCGGGAGTGTTGCGGTAAGCCTGCTGAGGTCCGTACGGCACTTCACACATGGGTCCCAGCGCATTTCGTGGGTACATCAATAAGCCCTGCACGTACAGTTGACCAACTGCGCGCCCCTGCATTTTTTATTTTTTTAGCCCCACACGGCACACGCATTAAACATGCATGTGAAGCATGTCTCTTGCTTACCTCTACAGCGTCATACAAACCTAAACCCTTCCAATGGTCGTAACCAAACCACAGGTGCCAAGCGACTATCTCACCAACAACCGAACCCGGTTTTGGCTGGGGATTGCCAACACAGCCGCCACCAAATGGGTGGACGGCACAGCCGTTGTGTATCAGCGCTTCACGAAGCGGGGGCCTCCGGGCTGTTACGTCTTGAACTGCCCCGCAGGGCCCTCAGCTACGGTCGCTGCTGCTGCTCGCGCTCCCTTCGCTCCTAGCGCGTGCAGGTGGGAGCTCGCGAGCAGCTGCATCCGACCGCAGTTGTTCCTTTGTGAGGTTCCTGGGGTGTATGAGGGAGCCTCAGGGCCTGTGGGCGTTTGAAAGTTGGATCAGCGTCGGCAACAGGTGTGAGCCTGTGGCTGGTTTGTGTAATGTGGCATGCTGCTGTGCATGATTTACGTCATGTACATGCGCGGATGTTTATGGAATCGGGATGCGGTGCAATAGCGTCGACGTCTTCAATGGCTGCCTGTACACAAGCAGCAGGTCGGTCATGAAAGCAGTACGGTAGGTGTTGTTGAATCTGCACCGTCCGGCCAAACACGACTTACCCATAATGGCTCGGGACCAGCTTACCCTGGTATGACAAAGCTCGTGGCATGGCAAGACAAAGCTCGTGGCATTGGTAAGACAAAGCTCGTGGCTTGGCACAGCACGTGGCTCGATACCAACTCAATCTGCCATGCATGCGCGTTACGGCAACCGTGTTTGCCCATATGGGCTCCGGCCATATTGTGGCAGGTGGGTTAGCAGCTTTAGGTTTTGTTGTGGAGAGGCCCGAGTGGAGGTCACGAAGTTTTGCCTGTTGCCGTATGGTGAATAGTTGGGTATGATAAGTGGACGCGATGAAGGACATGTGTACGGTGGGTGGAACGGTGGGTGGTTGTATGTACGAATGGAACCTGTGCGTGGCGTTGTTTGGCGGATGGTGAATGGCTTGGTGCAATGTGCGTGGCTTGCCGTTCCCTTTGATGCCTTGCTTGCCGTTGGCTTGTGTCGTATGTTGGTGCTTTTGTGTGTTTTAGGACGATAATCGTAGGAAGGGTCATAGATGAGGCAGGACCATAAACTGAGGTCGGTCAGTAGGTGTTAGGTTTGCAGGTAGAAGAACATTTGCGTCGTACTAAGGGGCTGAGATAGAGGGGCAGTCTGATTAGATGCCGTAAGCCTAGCAAGCTTCAATGCTGTGTTGTTGCACCCTCCACGCATGCACACAACTTACCATTATACTGTCTTAGGTTAGGGGCACTGGGGCAGTGCAGGCAATGCATTATACATGCATCCGAGAATGGCAATGTCCAATTCCTGCCTGTCTGGATTCATTTCTGGAAGATTTGCTTGGTGGCAGTTGCTGTGGATGTCTGACTAAATGGTGAATGAGCAAATTGGGTAGCTACCTGGCTAGTACGTACGGCCTACTTGACATGTGTGGGTGTTTGCATCTACAACAGCGGTGGCCACGATCCATTGTTGGTCTACGGGTCTACGTGCAACCATACGTTTCCTGGTCCGTCCAGGTGCCGACTTGCTTCAAACCAGCAGGCTTCTCGTGAAGGTTTCGCCACTGCTGAAGGTGTCGCCACGTGCTGCTTTGGCCACGGACCAAAGCAGGCCTTATGGTTGTCGTACCTCCTCCTTCGTGATTTTTGAACGGTGCTGCTATTGCAGGGTTCCGGATGTCGCTGTGGGGTCGATATGCGGAGTGCGGGTTCCTTGTGATGCTTTTGGAGCTACTGGCGGAATTTGTTGTCAATGGAGACCCATGGGTCACCAGCATGCCATGCATGCCATGCCAAGCATGCCATCATGCAATGCGTATCCTCCGACGCATGTTCGGTTTTATCCCTACACTCTACATGCGTATTGCTGCTGTATTGCCAGAGGCGCTCCTCACACTCTTCCAATACCGAAAGCGTTCAAAATAGCACCCTGCCTGGCAATGCCGCTATGCAACTTTATTAATAATGTCGACCACGTTCTGCCTTTACCAAGAATGCATGCCCACGGGATTCCGAAGCCGGGTTTAAAGATCACAAGTATAGCAGTACACCCGGCGCAGCAGTCGTATGGCCGTATATAGTATCAACCAATCTCTCAACTACCAACCATTTTAACACATGCTTCTTATTACCACCGTTTATCACGCACGACAAAACACTTTACCCCCATGCATGCATAGCAATGCTCTGCTCTGCTCCCTAATCTCCTCCACTGCTGCCACCGCCGCCGGACCTACGGCCCATGCCCTCTGCCCGCCATCTCTCTTTCTTATCCACCCTCTTCGCCCGCTGCAGCAGCTTCTCCATCTCCTTTGCCTTCGCCCTCAGCTGCCACTCGTCCTTTGACATCACAGGCGGCGGAGGCAGCCCAAGCTCTTCGCAGGCGGCGATCAGCAGCTCGCTCCCGTACGGCTTTTCGACCCCCGGCACCGGGTTGCCCTGTGAGTCCTTGCCACAAAAGAACTTGTTCGAGAGCGAGTAGATGAGCTCCGACCGGATTCTGTCCAGCGGACTTCCGCCAACTGCTTGTGATGCCGTCGCCGCCGGTGCAGCGGCTGCAGCAGCAGCACCCACCGCATGTGTGAGTTGTTGCTGTTGTTGCTGCTGCTGCTGGTTGTTGAGCTGGTTGGGTCGGTTCGACCGGTCGCTTCCCACGAACGCTAGCGGCTGCGGCTGCTGTTGGGACTGCTGTGCGGCTGCTGCTGTGTCTCCGGCCCCTGTTGTCGCAACCCCTGCTGTTCCTGTCCCTACCACGCCGCTCTCAGCAGCACCAACCACAGCAGCATGCTGCTGTGCCGCCGTCTGCGCTGCGTCGGCTGCAGCCTGAGCCCCCCCTCCCCGCAAGCCCCCAGCAGCAGGGCCACCCTTGTCCTCCTCCTCATCTTCCTCCTCCGAGCTCTCTCCCACCCCAGCCAAGAGCTCCGCCAGCTGCAACAGCTTACGCATGTGGGCCTCACCCGCTGCCTTGTGATCTGAGCGGAAGGCTGTGTGGTACGGCAGGTAGGCCTGCTTTGACTCGATTACCATCGAACGCCTGTAGGTAGGTGTGTTCACAGCAGCCCAAGGGGCGGTATTAGTTGCTGCAAATGGAATGCTGCGAATGAGAATGGTATGGAGTCGTGAGTTGTACTATTGGATACGCATGTATCCAGATGCGCGTGAAGCATGGAGGTTATATCTCCCTGTCTTGTCAGGGCTGGTTATCAACTAGACGGTAACTTAGCCCTGACAATCTAGCCATTGATGAAGCACACGCACTACTTCACTTACCAGGAAGCGTGGCGCAAGACCAGCTCCAGCACCTCCCTTCTGTGTCCGAAGCGGCAGGCACGGTGCAGCGGCGTGGCTTTGGAAAGGTCGTCCTGGACCTCTAGAAGCCGCTGCCAGCGCCGCTTACCCAGTCGGTCGATCGCAGCCTGGGGTAGCATGCATGCGTGCAGGGTCACATGCCTGAGAGTCTGGTGTCTGCCTGCTGTCGCCATCCAGGACGTCAAACCTGCCAACGCAAACCCGCTAACAAGCAGCAGAAACCTCAGTCGGGCTAAGAGAGGACACACAACCTCGTAATCACGCGCTACAGTACCTTCTCACCACAAGCCCCACTTGCATATACAGCGTACAACATCACATGCACCGCCTATTACTAAGCTGTCCCTGTAAGAAGGATTTCGCATCCTTATCCATGCAACGACGAGCATAGCGCAACAAGCCACCCGGGCTTAACTACCGGTACCGTACCTGCATCATCTCCACCGCAATGCCCTGCGGCAGTGGCACATCCGGGTCTTTCGGCGGATCCCGCTTCACGCTGTCATCCAGACAGTCCGGCGGTGTCGCCAGCCAGTGCGCCAGATGCTGCCCATTCGGAAGCCGCATGGCCGTTAGATGCTGCGGCGGCACATCCTGCAGCAGCCCCCGCCAGGCCGCCAGCACGCCGGCACGCCCGCTCGGGTCCTCCAAAGTGCCAAAGTTGCCCGCAACGTCGCAGCAGCTCTCCAGGAAGGTGAAGAGACGGCGCTGGGCAGCCTCCCAGGGCTCAGGCGGACCTCGCGGCTGCTTGGCCTGTCGCTCGGCCGGGTTGCTGGCGCTGCTGCTGCTGCTGGCGGGGCCGCCGCGGCTGGGATCGTCGTCGCGGCGGCCGGAAGCGGTCAACGCGCCTGACGGCGGGGGCAGAACTGCTGGCGGAGGTGATGGCGGAGGCGGCGGCGGCGGCAGCATTTGCATGCCACCAGTGAGCGCCAGGGAGGCGCCGCTGCCGCTGCCGCCGCTGCCACTAGGGGCAACAGCGATGACGTCGTGGCCGCCGCCACCGCCACCGCCTCCGCTGGGGCCAGCAACACCAGCTTCCAGCAGCGCAGCGGTGTAGGGGCCAACGCCTCCGCCTCCGCCGGTCAAGCTGGTCCCCGCCGCCGGCCCCTGCTGCCCTGCTGCCGCCACCCCTCCTGACGGCACTGCCGCCGCGGCCGCCGCTGGGGCTGCTGCTGCGGCGGCGGCGGCATCATCTTGCGGTTCCTGATCCTCCAACGCTTCCTCTTGGGGGCTGTCAGCAGCAGCAGCAGGCGCGGCGGCTTGCTGCACCCTGCCCACGAACCATGCCACGAAGCAGGGGCCCGAGGCCGTCCATAACCGCAACCCCTTCCGGTAGGCCTTCTCCTCGAAGCCCGTGTCGCTGGGACGGTCCTTGTATGCCAGCTTGTACAAGTTTACCTGAGGAGTGATGCGGTTGTTCGGGGTATGCCGGGTAGGAGGAAGCCCCGAGGAACAAGGAACACACATGACAACCTAGGTAACTCTACCGGTATCTACATATTGACGGTACAACTGGAAGTTGGTTAAAAACGTGGCTGGCGGCCTCTCATGAGCTCCTTAGCTAGGCAGGTGTTACAGGCGCCAGGTTACGAGCGCCACGCCGTCGCCTGGTCTTGACGATGTTATCCGTGCGTTTTAGCTTAATGTTTTACCACCAGCCATCATACACCTGACTAACCTTCCGGAAAGGGTGCCTGTCGGCCTGGCAGGTGGGTCCTGGGCGGCCTTTCTTGGCAAATGTGTAGGTTTTATCGCAGCCGGCGCAGCGGTTCAAGTACAGCGTCGTGATGTAGACGCCCCCCTGAATGGGCGCCGGCAGGGGTCCGGACTGACTGCCGCCTGCAGTCAGGGCACCAACAACGCATGCATCTTCATGCATCTTCAGTTAGGCATGCATCTTCAGTAGTTAGGCATGCACCTGCTGCACGCACCATCCATTCCCATGCATGACATACATGCAGAATGCTACGGTAACCATATGTGTAGACCACTCCACCTGCTGCGCAGTAGCCCCTGATGAACCCCCAGCAGCCCCAGATGACTACTTTTCCACATACTTGTTAGTTTTGAAACTCGAGTTACTAAATGTCTAACTTGCTGATAAAGCGTTTCCTCCTGGCGCCAACACCTGTCAACTGACGCTATTGGACCCCACGTACGCACCCGGATTAGCGCGGCTGTCTTCTGGATACCCCAAGGTGACAAAGAAGGCCGATTGGTCCGCTGGCACGTCCACCCATCGGGTGGGCAGGACGGGCAGCACCTGGGGCGGCTGTGTGCTCTTGAGCTCCAGGAGCCTCCGTCCGATTCTGACGGGTGCGTTCTTTTTGCCCGAGCCTTCCAGCAGAGCGCAGATTTCACGGCACCAAGCTTCGTGCTGTTGCTGCACCTGCTGCTGTGACGGCTGCTGTGGGTGCTGCTGTGACGGCTGCTGTGGGTGCTGCTGAGGGTGATGCTGAGGGTGATGCTGTGGCTGATGCTGTGGGTGATGCTGCTGTGCTGCTGGCAATTGCTGCAGGAGCGGGGATGGCGACTGCCCAGGGTGAATCTGTTGCAGCAGCTGCAGCAGCTGGTGAGGCTGGTTGTGTTGCTGCAGCGGCGGCGGCTGGTGAGGTTGTGGTGGAAAGCCTGCCTGGTATGCAGCTTGGAACTGTTGAAGTTGAAGCACAAGCGGGGCACCACCCAAACCCTGCTGTTGTTGCCCTGGTTGCTGCTGTTGCTGCTGTTGCTGCTGCAGCAACGGGTGCATCCGCAGTTGGTGGCCCTGATGTGGGTGTGATAACGCAGTGGACCCCAGCGGGGCACCAGGCGCATGGACTTGGTACTGAAGATGGCTGGGCTGCGAGGGCACTACGGGGCGCACATGACCGCCGTACAAGCCAGAGCCTCCAGACTGGTGGTACGGCAGCTGCCGCTGCTGTTGGTGCTGCTGAGGCTGTGCCTCCAGCGGCGGGTGATGTGGAGCTTGCTGCTGCTGCTGCTGCATGGTATATTGGAGTTGTCGTTGCAGCCAGTGGGATTGCTGTTGTGGGTCGCGCATGGGCAGCCCAGGAGGGGTAATCAGGGCCGCCGGCGTGCCGCCAGCGGCAGGAGAATTAGTGGCATGGTCCAGCTCAACGCCACTCTGCATGCCTGACAGCTGACGACGGGCTGCTGCGGCTTGCAGCGCCTGCTGAATGTTGAAGTGGGCGGGAGGAGGGTAATCAACAACGCCGCCCGTGTGTTGCATTAATGAGGGCAGTCCCGGTGAGACCCCCTGGCTTCCCTGGCCTCCGGGCATGCGAAGCTGCGCTTGCGGCTGCTGCTGCATCATGATACTTTGATGGTGTTGTGCTGCTGCTGCTGCTGCTGTGGCAGCGGCGGTTGTGGTGGCAGCGGTGGCTGCCGCAGGAGCGAATGCTGATGCAATGCCTGCTGCCCCCGCATTGCTTGATTGCGGTGTGTTCATGCGCTCACACCTGCTACCAGCAGCCGTGACCGCACCGGCTGCTGCAGTTGTGGCTTCTACGCTGTGACCTTGGGGTTGGTCGAAAGGGGCGTCTACAGGCCACAAGGGGTCAAGAAGCGGCACGCCCTGCAGTCGTCTTGGCAACGACTCCTCGCTATGGTTTGAGGAGTAGCTGGGTTGGGGTTGCTGCTGGCGTGCTGAATTCGCCGCGGACGGGGGCTCTTCCCCTGGAAGACCGCCTCTATCGGCCATGTTGGTGGATCTGATTCCCAGTGCAAGGTAGTTAAAAGCAAACGTGCAAGTATACGGGACTGGTACGGACCGAGCTGTCGGGCTTTGTTTGAGAGCACGCAAGGTGGCGCACAGGTAAGGTGCACTACACCCTAGCTCTGTAGACTAATGAGGTCTATGAGGCACCCAAGAATAGGCCACGATGCTTTGGGCAAGGCTACGTCAAAGCTTCACGGGTCTTAACATCAGGACGCAAGCCGACTGGCAAACCTGGAGGATTCCGTCGCGGTAACTCTGTTTAAATGATAGTTCAATTTTTGCACGATTACAATAAGTGACACAGCGCGCCAAAGGGCCCTGCCGGGGACGTCACGGGCCCGGATCGCCACCTTCACGGGTCGCAGGAAAACATGGAAAACCGGCATGAAAGTATAGACGGTTAAGATGCATATACGTTTAGTTGACTACTCAGCTCATCGCTTCACTGTGGTGGGACCCGTGAGAAAGCCGCAACCGCCTAACGGTTCAACCGCCCTCCGCGCAATTTGGTCGGTCGCATAAAGACCCACCAAAGCAACAGGGAACCATGAACACAAAGGCGCTTCGACAATATTCGTTGTTGGGTGGTGCAATAGCCTGCTGTCATTTGTCGGGCTGACCGAAGGTTACGGCGGGCCATTCGACTGCTGCAGCTTGCTGCGGCACCAGCCCAAACTCCTCCCGTGAGAGCCACTCTTCCCAAGCGTTCTGCATTCTGGCCCTTCGCGATTCACTGCATCAAGGCTAAAGGCCAAATCCTGCAGCAGATCGCACAAGCACAGCACAGCAATCCTCAGGTATCATCCTGTACCACTTGTGTGGGTCACCTAATCCCAGTGCCGGTCTGCGCAGTGCGAACGACACGCCGCCCTAACATGGGTCGTTGCTTCCTTTATGCACGGGGTAGCGCGATAGTGGGAGTTTCCTACCCACTTTAGTATGTCAAAATGGGCCTTGCTCCGCTACTGCTAGGGACCGCTGATTGGGCGAAAGCGGCGCGAGGACATCAGGGCCTTGCAGCCCTTGTGTACAGTCGGCAAAGCAAGAAATATTACAAGAAAGCGAGACCCAGCCGGATATTCGGCTGCAAGGCACGCCAACATGCGTCCGAATTCTTCCATGAACAAACAATAGAACAGAACAAAACAGCTCAGCCGGAAGCCAGTCACCGGATCCGGCACTGCCCCGGCAAAAGCATCGCGTGTGTGTGTCCTAGGCGTGCCACATGTCAACCATCCGATGGGCTCAATACGCGCCCAGAAGGCAAGGCACCCCGTAGACCCGCACACTCCTTCCTCCAGAAACAAAAGGCATAAAGGCTACGCCCTACTATAGCAAAACACACACGCATTTACATATGTGGTCAAATTCTTCTTCACTCTATACCGTACATCCTCGGCTCTCCAGGGGTAAAAGAATAAGTGAGCAAACGTACCAACAACGACGTCTTCTCAACAACGACTACTCCTCCCATGTGCGCGTATCTCGCTATAAGGGAAAGGGCAGGCAAACAAAGCTCCAAGGCTGCCAATCCTCGTGCCACAACAACCGCCGCAGCCAAAACAACTGTCCCAACGGGCACCGTCCGTGAAACGCTATACTGCTGTCACAAGCGGCGTCCTGTTCCTGTCCGGTTTCCGCCCGCGCGGCAAAACCGCACATGCACAGGAGGTGAGCCGCTAACACATGGCAAAAGCACTGCATTGCAGGGGCACAAGCCTTCAAATGCACACGAACTTCATACCGATACTGCCATCCAGAAAGACGCCCGGGGCTTTCCCTTGACATCATGCGATCAGGCCATTGCCACCAGCATTTGTGGACACGAAGAATCCGCCCTTGCGCAACTCTTCGACATGCAACTGATTCAAACACAAACGCGAATCCCAGCAGCCGCGTACACGATACACGCCACACACAACAACGCCACCCACCTCAAAACACCACAAGGTATACACAAAGACAGGACAGCAGACCATCCCAACCTAAACCTCAACGCTCAAAGGGTAGGCCACCCGCACCTGTCGCGGACTCCTACTCCTCGCCAACACCAAGGAAGGGAAGACTACTGCTACCCTAACCTCACATCTACTGCCAAGAATTTATCACAAGTGGTACAACAAACCTTCTCCCCCTCCTCCTCCTCCCACGCACCCTCCGCAACCGCCTCGCATCCCACCTTCGACAGCACAGCACACCTCCTCCCTCCACCACCACCGCCGCCGCAACACACCCGACCCGCGCCTCGCCCCTCCTTTACTTGGCCTTGGCGCCCGGCTGCGGCACGGGGCAGGGCTCCGCGTGCCAGATGTCTTTCGCGTATTCGGCGATGGTGCGGTCGGTGGAGAACTTGCCGGTGCCGGCGGTGGCCATGATGGACATGCGCGTCCAGCGGGCCTGGTCGCGGTAGGTGGCGTCCACCTTGTTCTGTTGGGGGGGAGGGGAAGGGGTAAGGGAGGGTAGCAGGGAAAGGGGTGGGAAGGAGGAGGCAGGGTTGAGGAATGCAGGGATGTCAGTTGCAGATGTCGGCATAAGCAGCTAAGGAAACGTGTAGGCGCCTAGAAAACACACATGCGCCAAGGCAAGCGCGAAGACGCTTTGCAGATACGCCTGCGCACAACACGCCAATACAACCCGCACTTCTCACACATATACCCAAAGCTACCCACCAGCCTTTACCCACTGCCTTCCCTCGCCCCCCCTGCCCCACACTGTCGCAGCGACCGCACCTGCATGTCGATGTAGGCCGGGAAGTCGTTGGCCACCAGGTAGTAGTCCCCGCCGCTGGTGATGGCGTCCACCACGGGACCGAAGTAGTCCTCCCACCCAAAGTAGCCGCTGCGGATGAGCCCCACCACGTGGTTGAAGCGCTCGTCGGTGCGCAGGTTGCGGCGCTCGGCGCGCAGGCGGGCCACCTCATGCGCCTTGGCGCCGAAGATGAAGATGTTCTCGTCGCCGATCTCCTGTGGATGGCGGTTGTGAGAGGGCAATTGTGAGAGGATATTTGCGTAATGGCAGTTGTGGGTGGGCAATTGTGAGAGGGTAAATGACGGGGGGAAGAAGAAGCGTAAAAAGAAGGTCACGGGGATGGCAAACACCATGCGCACACATGCCATCTGCTCGTACGTAAGTTATACTTGTAAGAGTGCTAGCTAAAAGTAAGCCGGTTTGCGTAGGTATACCCATAGCAGGCTGCACAAACCCACCACCTCATCCCGCCCCAACACCCCAACCACCCAAACCCCGCATCTTCCGCCCCCCCCCGCACCTCCGCGATCTCCACGTTGGCGCCGTCCAGCGTGCCAATGATGAGCGAGCCGTTCATGGTGAACTTCATGTTGGAGGTGCCGGAGGCCTCAGTGCCTGGGGGGTTGGGGGGGCGCGGGGGAGGGGCGGAGGGGGGATGTGTGTATATGTTTCGGCCAAGGGGAAAGAGGTGGGGATACGAAGGGGAACTTCCGTGCCTGGGAGATGACCTAACCCCCCACCCGCTCCTAACCTCTCACGCCCTCCTATTCCCTCACCCGCTCCTAACCCCTCACCCGATCCTAAGTCCTCACCCCCCCACCTGCGGTGGAGATGTGCTGCGACAGCTCGGTGGCGGGGATGAGCACCTCGGCGGAGGAGACGTTGTAGTCGGGCACAAACACCAGCTTCAGCAGGTCGCCAACCTGGGGGGAGGGGGTGTGGCCGGGGGGGAGGAATGATGAGAGGCGCACCAATCGGGGGGGGGGGAGAAATTCCAAAGTGTGGTGTGATAATGATATAAGTTGCTGACAATCCCTGGTGGAATCAACCGTGAAAGGAAGGATAACAAAATGCGTTGAATGAGAATGCAAACCAGACGACGAACTCAACTGGGAGGAGGGGCAGGATACAGGTGAAGAAACAGGCAAGGGGGAGGGGGCGTTTATGTGCGGGGAGGTAAGCAGCGATGCGAGGGGAGCAAGCAGCGCGCGAGGCAACGGTGGCTGTGGCGCCCAACAACAGCAGCGCGTTCCTGTTTCCATCCATCCAGACCACCCCGCATTCCCCAGCTCCCCTCTCTTTCCTCCCCCCATCCGTCCACGCCCACTACTACGCACGCACACTCCAGCACGCCGCTCACATCCGGGTCGTTGTTGATCTTGTCCCCCACCGCGCACACCAGCTTGATGATGCGCTTCGCCATCTCGTAGCCGGGAGCCGCCTTGCCGCCGATGACGCACACGCGCGGCACCACGTTCTTGCGCTGCTGGGGGCTCATCTTCTTGATCTGGGGGATGGGAAGTGGGGGGTGGGGGGTGGGGAGGTGGCGGGGAATTGCTAGGGGTGTAGAGCTCCGCATGCGGCTGGATGGTTGGGTTAGCGTACACCACATGGGCCATCAAACACCAAAGAACATACCCTAGTTGTGTTACTTGCCATGATACACACCCCTAGCTCCTCCTCCCGCCCCCGGGCCCCCCCTCACCTGGTCGTAGCGGTAGATGATGCCCATCACGTTGAGCAGCTGCCGCTTGTACTCGTGGATGCGCTTGACCTGGATGTCCAGCAGCGCGTCGGTGTTGATCTTGACGCCTGGGGGGAGGGGAAAAATATAGATAAATGCATCAACGGAGTCCCAATCCCGAATCCCGGGGGAGAGGAGGGGGAGGGGGAGGGGGAGGAGATGCGAGGGGAGGCGAGGGAGAGAAGGTGAGGGCGAGGGAGGAGGAAAGGGAGAGGTACCGGGAACAAATGCGCATTGGAAAAGATGTACCTGCACCTTAAAACGCGCGCGCACACCTCATAGACTCGTACACTCACCCCCCGCCTCTTCCAACCTCGCCCCTCCACCCCCCACCCACCACCCCAGCAGACGCTCTCACCCGTGAGCCGCTGGATGAGCGCCGCCGCCTTCTCCTTGGCCGCGTGCTTCACCGCGCGCCACTCCGCCTGGAAGGCGGGGTCATCCGCGTGCTGCCGCAGCTGGCGCAGGTTGTCCAGGTGCAGGATCCAGTCCTCGCTGCCCAGCGTCTTGGTGATGAGCTGGCGCAGCGGCGGGTTGCAGAAGGCCAGCCAGCGGCGCTGAGTGACACCTGGCGGGGGAGGGCGGGAGGGCGGGGGGAAGGGATGCAGGTGCGCGATAAGGAAGGAAATGAAGAAGGAGACACACAGCGTGCTGGATACTAATGGCACAACTGAACTAGGGGGTCACGAGCTCCAGGTGCATGAAGCCAAGTCCAGCCGAATGTGCACAACGTGACTGGACCGTTAACGGCCCACCGGCTGCATCCCCCCCCCCCACACACACCCTGCACACACCCTGGGACTTCATCTTCCGACATGCCAGTATGTTCCTACTCGCGGCCAGTTATTTTAACACACGCCGTGCACACCCTCCCCCGCACCCAGTTGGCCCCAACTCCCCCACGCGACCCCCCCCCCCCCACCCCCCAACCTCCTCACCGTTGGTCTTGTTCTGGAACTTGTGCGGCCACAGGTCGTGGAAGTCCTTGAAGATGGTGTCCTTGATGATGTCGGAGTGGATGGCGGCCACTCCGTTGACGCTGTGGGAGGCGACCACAGCCAGGTAGGCCATGCGCACGAACCTGGGGAAGGGGGGAGAGGGGAGGGAGGGAGGGAGGGGAGGTTGCGTTGCAGCAGTTGAGAACAGGTTGGGAGGCACTTCTGGGCTCTTGCAGAGCAGTGGATGCAAGCCAAGGCGCATGGCCAACGCGCTTTGGCGCCTCCCTGCAAGCCCCTGCCTCTACCCGCTACCCCTTCTTCGCCCCCCCTCCCCAACCTGTGGTTTCCTATTGTTCGGCATGGTCTCTTTCCCCTCCCCGCGCAGCTACACCCCGCCCCTGCCTGCCTGCCACTCACTTCTCCCCGTTGGCGCCCTCCTCGATGATGGACATGCGGCTGATGCGCTCCCAGTCGTCACCGTACTTGTTGCGGACCTGGGGGGGGGGAAGAGGAGGGGGTGAGCATAGAGGAGGAAAAACGGATATACGGGCGTAGGGAGGTAGGGCATGAGCCGGGCGGTGGGATCTCCTTTTCGGGTCCCACTTCGGGTCATCTATCTTCCCCCTTCCCATGGCTCCACATTGTCGCACGACCTGGTTTCCTTCCCCTCCACCCCTCACCCACCCTCACCCCCCATCCCCCGCGGGTCAGTTCTGCCCCAAACCCCCATCCCTCCCACCGTCTGCAGGAAGCGCCAGTTGACGTCGTAGATGATCTGCATGTGCCTCGGAAGCAGCTTCTCAATCAGCGACACCGGCCAGCGCTCCAGCGCCTCGGGCAGCACCGTGTGGTTGGTGAAGGCAAACACCTGCCGTACGGGGGGATGGGGGGTCGGGGGCGTGAGGGCGGGATGATGACCTATGGGTCGCAACCCGCATGGCTAGATTGACCGATGGACACAATCAGGTGCTTTTGCCCCGCTCAACCCACTTCCCAGCGTTGGTTTTGCGTAGCCCAACCCTCTTCCCCTGCCCACCTTGGTGCAGATCTCCCAGCTCTTGGTCCAGCCCAGCTTGTGATCGTCCATGAGCACCCGCATCAGCTCCGCCACCGCGATGGTGGGGTGCGTGTCGTTGAGCTGGAAGGCGGTCTTGGTGGGGAAGTCGTCCCAGTTGCCGGGGTGCGCCTCCACGTAGCGGCGAACGCAGTCCTGGGGGGGGGGGGAAGGGGTTGGGCGCGGGGAGGGGGGTTACGGGAGGCGCGGAGGGTTGCAGGGAGGGGCGGAGAAGAGGTAGTGGTGATTCCTTACGTGCCTACGTGTCACACGGTTAGTTCGTTTCCTCCTCTTTACCGCCGCGCTTCCCTTCCCTGCAGAAAAGCCAACTCCTCGCCCCATCACCCCCCCCGTCCACCACCCCCTACCTGCACGGTGGCACTGACGAAGAAGTGCTGCTGCTTGAGGCGCAGCTCCTTGCCCTCGTAGGTGCGGTCGTCGGGGTAGAGCACGGAGGACAGCGTCTCGGCGCGCTGCTTGCTCAGAATGGCGGCAACGTAGTCGCCTGGGTGGGGGAAGAAGGCGGGGGAGGGACCCTTCGTAACCATGTAGTAGCCTCCCTTCAGGTAACCTCTCAATTGTACCGGTACCCATGACCCAATTTCTGAAGACCCCCGTTCCGTTCCCTCCTAAAACCCTAACCCCCATTTCTTCCTAATCCCCTTTCCCCAGCCTCACCCGTGTTGAACGCCTCCAGGTCAAACTCCTTGGCCGGCTTAGCCGCCCACAGGCGCAGGTTGATGCAGTTGCGCGTGCCAAACCCTGGAATGGGGTTGTCGTACGCCACGGCCGTGACCGTCTCCCCCGCGTTCCACCGGAAGATCTGCTTTCCATCGTCCTGTACGACACTCACGTGGCCGTAGAACTTGATGGGGTACTGTACGATGTGGCGCTCGATCTCCCAGGGGTTGCCGAAGGTGAGCCAGTAGTCGGGCTGCTCGTGCTGGAAACCGTTCTGGATGGTCTGTGGGGTGAAAAGAGGAGAAGGGAGACGGGGAAGGAGGAGGAGAAGAAAGCAATGAGTTGCGGAGGGGTTTGATGGCAGGGTGAGGGGCGTAGTTGCATACGTGCTGTGGGGCTCGTGCCCCTTACCCCACCTCCGCCGCCACTGTTTCCAGCGACTCCCTTAACACGCAATCCGGCTAATGATAAATCCGCCTCCTCCTAACAACCCACCCAACAACACCAGTACACCACTAACCCAAAACAGCACCAGCCGCCCCCATTCCTCCCCTCCCGCCCCCCCTACTCCCACCTGACGGAACATGCCGTACTGGTAGCGGATGCCGTACCCCCACGCGGGCAGGTTGAGGGTGGCCATGGAGTCCAGGAAGCAGGCGGCCAGACGACCCAGACCGCCGTTGCCCAGCGCGGCATCGCGCTCCAGCTCCGCTAGCGTCTCCAGATCGTACCTGATTTGCATGTGCATGGGTTGCGGTGTTTTGGTTGCGGTTGACGTGCGGTGTGGTGTGGTGGTGTTTGGGTTACATTGGGTAAAAATCACGGTTTGCGGTTGGGTGGTGGCTGGGATTGCGGTTGCTGTGCGCTTGGCGGTCGTGTTGTAATGATTTGGTGTGTGTTGAAATAACTGGCCGCGAGGCGAAACGTACTGTGTGTGTGTTTGTGCGATTGTACGATTTGTTGTGCGATGTGGCAGGGTTCGGAAGTGTCTGCTTGGCGCACTAAATGAGCCAGTGACCCGCGCGGGTCGTGCACATGCCTCCCCACAGTGCGGTTAGCGCACTGGCTTGGCGTCAGCACTGGAGCAGCAGCAGCTGCTCCTGGAAGCTTCCCGCACAGTAGCCCGCCCTTGTAGGGGTTGTGGCAGGGCGGGGAGCTCCTTGACGCTGCCAGCGCCGGTGCTCGACAGTTGCCAGCCGCTGCTGCTGCCGCCGCTCATGCCGCTGCTGCTACACGCGCTTGCCTCTGGTGCCGCTGCCCATTCTGTGACCCTTATCCCGCTTGTCCGCCTTGGCTTGGATGATTTGGGTCGAGCTCCGTCGGTTCCGAGACGGACTGCTTCACACAGTTGGCTGTTTTCCTTTGCACACAGTTGGCTGTTTTCCCCGCCCGTGCCCCCCCAGCTCCGCCCCTGTCCCCTCCGACTTGGGACTCCAGCTGCTTCACTTCTTTATTGCTCCCTCCCACTAGCTCCGCCCCCGCCCCCCTCACCCCAGCTCTGCCCTCGCTCCGCCCCCCCTCACCCCAGCTCCGATAGCGCCTCCGTGTAGGCATCCTTGATGTCCAGGTTGTACAGCGTGTTGAGCAGGCTGCGACCCATCAGGAACTCCATGGACAGGTAGTAGACGCGCTTGGGGTCCTTCTCCCTGGTAGGGGGAGGGAGAAGGGGGGAGGGGGAGGGGTTAATAGGGATGGTGCATAGTCCGCAGTAGGCTGGAGAGAAGAGAGGGGCGAGGGGGAGGAAAGGGGGGGTCCTCGCTTGACCCAGATCGACCCAGATCACGTTTCTAGAAAGGCTATGCGCACCCTTGCCCGGAGCATCCGGTGACAGGAACTGTGTGCTCTCCTCAGGCTCCCCCTCAGCTCCACAGCCCTCCCTTCAGATTCCGTCAGCCCTCCACCGGCCCTGGCACCACACCCCCTCCGGCTTGCATCACCCCCCCTCCCGGCTCCCACACCCCGCCTATAGCCAGCCCGGAACCCACTTGAACCACGTCTGCGTGTCGTTCCAGCGCTCGATGAGGCGGTCACGCAGCGAGAAGGAGGTGGCCTGGTAGGCCTCGAAGTTGTCGAAGCGCACCCGCGAGCGTGCCATGGTGTACTCCACGTGGTTGACGATGTCCTCCTGGATGCTCAGCACGTCGTTCTTGATGTAGGTGTCTGAGGGGAGAAAAGGCACGGAGGGTTGCGAGTTGAGGTTGTGAGTTGTGGAAGGAGGAAGGGGAAAGGACAGGGCGAGGAGGAAGAGGTTTGGATGAGATGAACGGAGAGGAAGAGAAGGGGAGGAAGGGAAGGGCAGGAAAGCAAGGAGCTCAGGGTACTTGCCGGAAGGCTGGTGAAATGAAGGGGCGGCTGAGCCGTTAACAGGGAAATCCCACATTTACACTGTGGTGGATAAGCTGAACAGGTAAACCTCCTTATATATACAATATGGTGCTCCGGTGCGCATGCAATGTCGGCATACCTCCCCCCCCGGACGACAGGCTTTCTGCCCAAATAAGAAAGCGTAAAGGGAGTTTCCAAATTGCACCAGAGCTTGGAAAGAATAAACTTCTGCAACCAGCTGAAAAGGTCCCGAGTTGCCAACCCAGATCGCAAGAACCCTTTCCGTCCCGCCATACCGCTTACCCATGAGCGTGTGCAGGCGAGCCTTTGACATCTGGCCCTGAGCAGCGGCCTCGAACCTCTCAAACTTTGGCCGGCTCACATCGGTGCTGCTCTGCTTCGACCGCAGGAGCACATCCAGGGCCCGCATAGTGTCCGCGGCCTCCTCATCTGAAAGCTTGGCCCCAGCCATAGAGCGGATATAGAACTTGTCGTTGATCCGGCCATCGTCGCCCTCGACGACGGCCTTTCCGACGTCCACACCAAGGTCGCGGAACAGCGCCTAAAATGACAAATGTATGCAGCGTTGTCAACATCGCAGCCCGTGGTGATCATGGCATGTGTTCACAGAGCTGCTGGCGCATCCGTAAGAAACAGAGTAAACATGAAATGCAACCCTAACCCCACCGTGATGGAACTCAGGAGCCCTGGCTTGTTAGCCGCCTGCACGCTAATGACCGTGTAGTTCGAATCGTCGTTGTTTACAGAAATGTTAACATCGCCCGACGTGGCAGGAGTCTCTGGAGTAGCGACCCGTGGAGGGGCAGGGACGCGCTGAGCCGGAGCTCCCGAAACAACGCGCCGCGCAGGCACAGCCGCCTTGCCACGCAAAATTGGAGCAACGGTTACTGGCGCGGCGACGCTAGGAGTTAAAATCCGAGAGGCCGCTGCCGGGGCCACTAGGCCCTGGCGGAGCGTGCTTGCCATTTGTCAACGCTGGTCACGGAAGAGTTGTTGCACTATAGTCAGACAAACAACAAGATGCGTGGCAGCGTTGGGACAACCTCTTCCCCTATTAAGTGCAGTCCAGAACATTTTCTCCTCTACAATTAAGGGCCTTACAATACTACGGCACAACGCGCAACGATTCCAAACCCCACCAAGATGCTATATGTAGAGCAGCACCGTTTTTAAAATATAATAACTGGCGTGCTGTTAGCTTCTTGCTGCTCATATCTGGTGTTAGCGTTGGTCTCAGTTAGACTCTGATGGTCGCAGTTGATCCAAGGTCATGGACCCTTGACACTTCCGTTTCAGGACACCTCTTGCAATTGCTCAACGTTCCCCATAGCTACACGCTCGTGATCACTGACCTGGACAGACTCTTAAGGACCAGGGTATCGCGTTCCTTCAAAGCGTAATCCGTATCAACCATTGTTCGTGGGTAGCTGGCAATGGACGCCGTCATTGCTATTTAGTGGGATGCATCCCAAATCGTCTGGCGTTAAGGGTGTTGCTTGGAGAATTCTTAGGCCCCCACGCCCCAGGTTCCATCATTTGCGCTTTTCGGACCCCTCCCCCCGCTATGATGTGCTTCCGCACAAATTCCGCGACTTGATTAGGTCGCGTGAAGGTGCTGTACTTCGATGTCTGTTATCCTGCTCCTGCCATACCGGTATCTTCGTTTGCCTGGTGTTGCGCCATGTCAAAGCACAGTCCCCAAACCCCAACCCATTTGGGTCGCCTCCTTTTTCGCTGAAGTCTGTCAGGGCCTCTCTCTGCCTTTCGCAGCCGGCGGAACCTCGCAGGCAGTACGACATTCCGGTGGTTGACACTGTGTCATGTCACTGGCATAATGCACCTACTCACCAACCTGTGGTTATCAAGACACGTTTGCCCAACTCCTGCATGGACCCTGAGAAGCAACAATGAGCTTTCCTGAGCCGATGCGTGTGGGCAAGGATCGCCCTCTCAGGGCCTTCCTCGATCGCCCCGCTTTCATGGCCCCACTTACTTTGCCCACTTGTAAGTTTCACGTACCATAGCAATCATTGTGCATTCATGTGGTTTAGCCTATTTTTGACCCCCGGTTCGTGGCTTGACTACCGGTAGTTCGTGCTGGAGAGGGGGTGATTATAGCGCTGTGGGCTTGGGACCAAGGCATGGGGCATGGGGGTCAGCATAACTTTGATGAATGTTTGTATAGTGGTTTTGAATTTGGAAGAAACGACAAGTCGTAAATAAAACAGGCAGTACTTCCACCAGCAGTGACTCGTCCTTGTCTGCTCCATGCTAGGCCTGCTCTATGACATGTGGAACTGCATGATGCTGCCTCTCGCTTGGTCACACTGGGCTGCTAGATCACTATCCACAGAGCTGGTACGACAAGGTTGTTGTGGTCTTGCAGTTTAGTTGAATACCTCTAAGACTCGCAGCACAGACGGCCTACGCTGCGCCAATTTATTAAGAACATGTTGAGAGGGAAGCAGCCTACTAACTACTGTGAGGGACTGAAAGTAGTTGATAGGCGACGCTCGACAAGCGCTCCTTAAAAGTGCTTGCGGTGCTGTTGGCATTGTCATTCATTAGCATGCCATGTTCATGGGATTGGGGTATCAACACGCTGGCTGTCGCAGCCTATGGCGGGGCATTTTGGTAAGCTTCCTTCCATAAGGTATCTGCTCAATATCTCTGTTTAAGATGTGCTCGTGATGTGCTTGGGTGGCCATGGCACAGGTGGGCGATTCGTTGCACAGTGCGCGACGCTGCGGCGAGTAAGAGACGCCCCAGCGCTGTTAACTCAAGGCTATATGTTGCCCGTCGGTAAGCATATACGTTAGTATTGGCTTGTTTGCAAAGCGACTTACCACTTGAAGCGTTCCACGACAGCATACAACTGCACAATGCGCGGGGCCTGCGCGCAGCGCAGCTTTGCGCCGGTATCCTGTATGCAGCCGTCATGTCATATGTGTACCTCATCCTGAGCCCCGGGAGCCTCACGTCATCGCACGTGTTTGGTAAGCAACGCTTCAATTCCTTCCCCATTGCGACGTCCTTGTCGTTCTCAACCTAGCAAGCTCCTTACAGGCCTACTGTTATCATACCTACATGTCGCCACGACATGCTGGTGCACGACCATAGCGCTGGTTCCCTACTTCGAAAAGGTGCTTCTGGAGTTCAACCCTGTGGCATCCGTGGCTTTGGTGGGCAGCCTGGCCCTGTTCATCAACTTCAGCGGCTCAAGCGGGCTCGCAGTTCAGCACAGCTTCTTCGGCAAAATCCTCGCCTACGTAAGCAACCCCAAATAGCATGCAACATCCTGGCTAGCCTCTGGCAGGACCCTTTGGTAGCACCTGCGGGCTCCCTCACCCTGCCTCTCACCACCACCCCCAACACCCGCGAATCGCATTCTTTCGCCGCGCAGGATGTGCTGTGGCTGCTGGAAGACTGTCCGCTGCAGGTGTTCCTTCCCACGCAGCTCACCGCTGTGCTGATACACCTCAGTGCACATGCCTGCTCGGGTGCCCAGCTGCACGTTTGGAGCACCCTGCTGGCCTACGCGGGCCTAGGTGCGTGCCTACCGGTATTCTCCTTGTGAAGGGATGCCGTGAACAGGCCAGCATGTTTGCTTGGGATACGCCATGACGTCAACGGAAGCCCAATGCAGGCCTAGCCTGCAGCATCGTGACAAGGTGCCGAGTTGCTACCATGCTCCCTGGCTGTGTAAGTCTCTGCCTCACACATCATCCCGTGTGACCGGGCGCCCCTCCCTCCCTCCCTCCCTGCCAGGTGTGGTGCTGCCGGTGGTGGTGTCGGGCTTGCTGCTGCCCAGCACCTCCCATGCAACGGTAAGCATGCCGCCCTGGCCCGTATGCGTCGTGACCTCCTCCCACAACCCACATCGCCGCCACATCCTTGCACCCGTCTACAACACTACCTACACCCTCTCCCATCCTTACATACCGACCCACATGCCACAACTCTAGCCCAACCTCCGTTTTCCCACACACGCACAGGCACCTCACCGTCCCTTCCCCACCATCCTCCCCTTCCAACCCCCATCCCTCGTCGCCCCAATGCCGCTCCTCTCTCACCCTACTCCCCTCCCTTCCTCCCTTTCCCACGACACATTGGGAATTCTTCCTCCTTCCCCCCCGACCCCAGCTCCCCAGCGGCCTACACACCGGCCTCTCCGCCGCCGTGGTTGGCTACCTCCTGATGGATCAGCTGCTGCGCGCCCCGCCGCTAGTAGAGCCGCTGCAGCAGGCGGCAGCTGCAGCAACGGAGGCGGTGCTGGCAGCAGCTGCAGCCTCCGGAGGCGGAGCAGCGGCAGCAGCAGCGGCCTTGGGTTTGGGCAGCGGGGTTGGGGGTGGGGCTAGCAGCAGCAGCGGCGGAGGCGGGCGGGGGTTGCTGGCGCGGGGGTTGCAGTCGCTGTTGGAGGCGCCGCTGCCCGGGCAGCGGTTCGGGTACGGGCTGGCGGAGAGCACGGGACTGGGGCTGATGTGGTCGGCGCTGGCGGTGCTGCTGGCGGTGAGGTTGGGGAGGCGGGTGGGGACGGTGGGAAACTTTTGCAAGGGTGGGATGGATGGAGACGCGGCGGAGGGAGCGAAGACGGTTGTCTGGTGAAAGAGGTGTGATGAAGGATGCGATGCGATGTGGGTCGGGTGGGTGTGTGGTCGTGCGGCTTGCGGGCTGCCTTCCTTGCTGTCGTCGTACACAACCCTCACTCCGCATCTCCCTCTGGCCCCTGCTCCGCCCCCTGCTCCGAAACCACCCCCGCCCGCAGAGCTCCCTGGTGTCAGCCCTGAGCGAGGGCGAGGGCGGCTCGCTGCACCGGCTGGCCACCCGCAGCATCATGGCGTCCATCAACAGGGTGAGGCGGGAGCGATACCGGTAGTCATGTTGGGCGGGCTCATGGGGAACGTGAAGACTGTGAACGTGTTATGCAAGCAATAGAGACAAGCATCAACTGACCCACATCGCCTCCGCACCCTGCCCTGCCCCCCCCCTCCCTCAACAACAGAGCTCCACCGCCTCCGCGGTCCTAGCGCTGCTCCGCGGACTGCCCACCGCCAAAAAGTACGCGGTGGTGGCCATGCTGGTCATCTCCACGGTGCAGGGGCTGGGCCTCATTTCCATCGCGGGCGGGCTGCTGGTGCAGGGCCCCGAGAGCTTCGTGCGCTCTGCGCCCGCGGTGCTGCTGTGCGTGATGGTGGGGGTGGTCATGCAGGTGCTGGGCATGCTGTATGTGCTGATACCCAACAACAACAGCAGCGGTAGCGGCGGCGGTAGCCTGACGCACGACGGCAGCAGCAGCATGGTTAGCGGCAGCGGTGGTGGGGGTGGTGTGAGTGCGGCGGGGGCGGCCGCTGCCGCGCCCGCCCTGCCATCAGCCCCGCAGGTCATCAACAGCAACATCAGCAACTTCAGCCGCGGCAGCAATCCCAGCGGCGGCGGCGGCGGCGGCGGCCTTTCCACCACCACTACTACCACCAATTCCGCAGCGGCTGCCACCCTAGCTGCCCTCAGCGACCTGGTGGATCCCTTCAGCCGCTCCACGAGTGTGGGCGGCGCTTCCGCCGCCACCGCCACCACCACCACCCCAGCGACCACGCAGGGCACGGGGCAGGGGGCCAGCCAGGGGGCTGCATGGGCGGCGATGGTACAGTCCACTCGCTCGCTGCTGACGCAGGCGAATGTGGCGGCGCAGGATGTGCTGATGGGGGGCGGTGGCGGTGGTGGTGTCGCCGGGGGCGGGATGGGGGTGGGAGGAGGAGGAGTGGCAGCGGCGGGTGCGGCTGGGGGAGCGAGCGGCATGGAAGCATTCGGCGGGATGACCGGTAAGAGGAGCAAGGGCGGGTTGTTAGCTGGTAAGGATGAGGACGGTGGAGTGAGGCGGTGGAAGGGTAGCAGGAGCGGTTTTCGGCTTTTTTAGTGGCGAGGCACTGTCTTCCTGCTTGACCGAGCACCCCGGGCTGTTCCTGTTGGTCACACTGAATGGCTACCTCTGCCTGCTGCCTCTGTTTGCTGCCTTTGCTGCCTTAATGTGCTGCCTCTGGTTGCTGTGTGCATTGCGAACACGTCAGCAGGCGGCCTCCCCCGCGGCCTTTCGGAGCGCTCGGTAGCTGCGGAAGGAACGGCTGGCGGCGGGGTTGCTGCCGGGGGTGGTGCGGGTGCGGGTGGGGGTGGCGGTGAGGAAGGCATGTTGGACCTGCGCACGCGGATAGAGGCGCTCGCGAACTTCAAAACGTTTATGCAGGTGCGGGTGGTGCAGGTTGGTTGAGGGCTGGGGCTGCTGGGCAAGCGGAGGTACCGATAGTCATGTTGGGGGCCCTGGGAAAGGTGCCGAGAGCAAGTTCGTTGCAGCACCTGGTACGGACTCAATTGCTCCCATGCCCCAAGCTAGAGCCCCTTCCCAACACCCGTCTTCCACCCGTCTTCCCTCTCTACTCCTTTCCGCCGTCCTCCTCTCCCGGCTGACACCTCCTCAGGGCTTGGACCAGCAGCCCGGTGTTTACTCCCTGGAGGAGTTCATTCGCGGTGCTGCAGCAGCCATGAAGGGCATATTTCCTGGTGTCGCACACGCCTCCTTCTGCCTCCTCAACTCCACACGAAACTGTGTCAACATGTACACCTTCCTAGGCGATGGCTCCCGAAAGCCGCCTCGCATCAATGTGGCCGTGGCGCCTGGAACGCTGATCTACCATGTGCTGCACAACTGCCAACCGGTGTTCATTAGTAATGTGGCGGCGTTTCCGGGGCCTTACGCGGACGTTCAGTTCATGCGCTTCGTTCTGAGCCTGCGGTCCGTGGCGTGCCTGCCGCTAGTGGTGGCTGGGAGCCGCGTGCTGGGGGTGCTGCGACTAGGGTTTGAGGAGCTTTGGGACTGGACGGAACAAGAAAAGGTGAGATCTGTTGTATGTGTTGAACTAGCTGTGTGTGTGACCCATGCGTCCGTGACGTTCCTGGCCATGCACTTCCTCCCCCATGTGCTGAAGAAGGCCTATATCCTGACGTTCTGCATCGTTCCTAATATGCGACCCACCTACTTAGGTCGCCCACCCACATACATACCGGTATCCAGCCACTCACCTATATTGGTACTCTTCCAACCGCAGAGCATAGCCAAGCAGCTGGCGTTGGTTCTCAGCAGCACAAGCAGCGGCATGGGCGGAAGCGGCGGCGGCCTGCCACCCGCAAACGCTGCCGCCGCAGCTGCCGCACAAGCACAAGCACCCTCAAGCGGCGCGGGAGGAGGGTACGACTCGCAAGGCCATGCGGCTTCGGCCGGAGCGGCGGCGGCGGCCGCCGCCGCCGCGGCCGGGTACCCCAACGTCGCAGCCGTACTCGCAGCCGGGGGCGGTACGGTACGACCGTACAATTCCCAGCAGCAAAAACTGTTGCATTCGCAGTTATTACAGCAGCAACAGCATTCGTTCTACGCAGCTTCTGGTGCTCCTGGGGGTGGTATGTCGTTCCTAGCCGGAAGCGGGGGCAGCGAGGCGAGCGCTGGCGGCGGCAGCTGCAGCAGCGGTGGCGGAGCCGCCGCCGCCGGCAGCGGCCATTTCGCGGGTCCCATACGGAGAGTACGAGCACAGACCTCGAGATCTAGCTTGCAGTACAACGCGTCAGGGGCTTATGGGGCCCAGGATCTTCCGGGATCAGCAACGAACACATTAGACTCCGGTGCTACAAACACCACCATCGCTGCTGCGGCGGCGGCGGCGGCGGCGGCGCCGCGTAGCATGCTGACCGCCGCCGGCAGCAGCGCATCTAGTGTGGACGTCCAAACCTATTACGCCACCCTAGCTGCGTCGGGCGGTGGTGGTGGCGGCGTTGGTATGGGTGGCGGCGCGGGGGCATACGCTCCTGGATTGGGGTTGATGACTGCTGCTAGCGTGGGGTGCGCTGCACCTGGCATGGGCATGGGAGGAGGGGGTGCAGGCATGGGCATGGGAATGGGAATGGGAATGGGAATGGGTGCGATCGGTGCGGGAGCAGCAGGAGCAGCGGCGGCGGCGGCGGGGAGGATGGGCCCACCCAGTGTGCACAGCTATGCCTCGAGCGGCGGAGCCACGCTTCCGCATGTGAACAGCGGCTCGGGTCGGCAGCTGGCGTCTGGGGAAGTGGACGAGGGTAAGAGCGGGAGTGGGGGCCCGAGGGGAATGGGGGCTGGGGGGAGGGACTGGCGCGGGGCATGTGAAGGGATACGGGGGAGAGCGAGATGGGGAGCGTCGGGGTTTCCAAGTAGAGGGTCATGGCTCCACCTCTTCATCATCCGTACCCCCCCTCGCCCCCTTTCCTCCTCCACCAGACTGGCTGCTGCAGCGGCAGGGCACCTCGCAGCTGTCCCGCCCCCTAAACCAGCACTCGCAGCAGCAGCAGCAACAGCAGCTTTTGGGGCAGGGAGGAGCAGGGCTGGGGTCGGGGCCGGGGCTGGATGCGCAGCAGCTGCACCTGCAGGGCCTTATGGGTGCGGATCTGAAGATGCTGGAGGTCATAGGGCGCGGCGGTTTCGGATCCGTGTATAAGGCCTTTTGGCGGGGCATGGTGGTTGCGGTGAAGGTGAGGAGGGCTTTTTTCGTGTTTTGGGAGTGGGATCTGGATGTGACTTTACAGGCCGGCATACTACCGGCACATGTCGCCTGTTTGCATGCAAGTGCCCTTCACCCTCATGGCAGTTAACCACATATTTATATATCTACATACCTAACGGGTTGCCGTACGGTTCCCGTACAATGGTTCTGGATTCTTCCGTCGTCGTACAGGTTTTGGAGCATGAAGACGAGTTGGTTCCCTTCTCCGGCGGTAGCGGTTCCACTGCCAAGCTGGACACCAGCAGTCGCCGCGCGGCGCTGCTGGAGGGAGCCATGACGTCAACCATTAGTCACCCGCATGTAGTACAAACGTACGACTACCGTGTCGTACAGCTGGATCCAAAGACGTCATTGGGCGGCCTCACTCGAAGCAGGTGCGTTTGCCCGCCCTCGCGCCCAGCATCTCATGTCGCGCCCAGCATCTCATGTCCCGCCCAGCATCTCATGTCCCAACCTCGTTTACGACGTGGTGCCGGTACTTCTTGTTCATATTCCCCTTGCTGCCCTGCTGGCCTGTCCCGCCCTAATGCGCTGCCCCCCCGCTGCTGCCCTGCTGCCCTGCGCCGCCCCCCCAAAGCAGGGTGCTGCATGAGACGCACATCATCATGGAGTGGTGCGACCGGGGCTCGCTGCAGGTGGGGGGGCTGGGTCGGGGTCGGGGTCGGGCGGGTGGCCGTGTCCCTATGTGTGTGTGTGTTTTGTTTGGGGGGGGGGCAGCCGGGGCTCACCCTGCCCCGGAGCTTGCTTCCCCAGTCCTTTGGTCAGTCGCACTGCGTTTGGTTTCCCCTACGGTAGTTCTCACCTATACCGGTGGTCGTCTGTCACCATGCCTCTGGTGCCGGCGGCCTCGCATGCGCTTCATGCGCGCCCCAACCCTCAACCCCTTTTCCTAACGTGTACCTCCCCTTCGTGTCCCGCCCTCCTCGCTCCCACTCTGCATGCAGGACGCTATCGAGCAGGGCGTGTTTCTGTCTGAGCGCGGCAGCAGCGGTGGAGGCAGCGGTGGCGGCGGGGCCGGTGGTGGTCCCAGCAGCGGTGGAGGCAGCGGTGGCGGCGGGGCCGGTGGTGGTCCCAGCAGCGGCCGCGAGCGAGCAGTGGACATGGACCTTGTCATCATGACGCTGGCGGAGGTGGGGGGGGAGGGGGAGGGAGGGAGGTATGGTGGGGGTTTAATAGGGATACATATTCCGCATTAGGAGGCGTGTGTGGGGGGAGGAAGGGCGGAGGAAGGGCGGAGGAAGGGGTGAGGGGAGAGGGGGGCCTCTCTAGTGTCTCTAGGCGTCTAGCAAAGCAGGCTGGTGTCAGGCTTGTGGCCTGCCCGCCTTACCTACCCCCCCTGCCCCACCTACCTACCTCCCCACCTGCCCCTCCACCTCCCTCCCTCCCTGCCCGCCCCCCGCAAGGTGAGTGCCGCCATGGAGTACCTTCACAAGCACCGCATCACGCACCGGGACCTCAAACCCAAGAACATCCTGCTCAGGTCGGCTGACAAGGACAGGAGGGGATACGTGGCAAAGGTAGGAGCGGTGGGAGGGGGGTCAAAGACCCCCCTCTGGGAGGGGGGGGGAGTGGGAGGGTGGGCAGCAGTAGGGTAGAGGGCCCCATGCGGGGGGGGGCAGCATGGGGGTGTGGGGTTTTAGCACGGGGGGCTAAAGCGCGTGCGTTAACAGCTTACCCCCCCCCCTTGTCCTTCTCGCAGGTGTCTGATTTTGGGCTGAGTCAGGTGCTGCCGGACACCAACAAGACCCAGGTGAGGCTGCGGGGGGTGGCGTCGGCAGGCCTCCCTCGTTCTCTGAACCCACCACCCACCCGCCACCCACCCATCCCGCATGGAACCTTTTGTCGCATGAGTTGCTCACAGGTGGCTCTGTGTCTACCTGCCTATCGGCATGTGCCTGCCGTGGTCGGATACCCACCGCATCTCTACTCCCGCCTCGCGCGCCTGCCAATCTGTAATACCCTCCTCCCTCTCCACACACCTCCCCCACCTCCCCCCCCTTGTGGTCTCCTATGGTTTGGTATGGTCTTTGACCCCCCCCCATCAGGGCTTGCCAGCTAGTTTACCACTATCACACCACACATTGGAATTTCTTCCCCGCCCCCCACCCCCCCGCACCCCAGGTGTCCACCAAGTACAGCGGCACGGTGACCCACATGGCTCCCGAGCTGATCGAGGACGGCAAGGTGTATGCGGCGGGGGATGTGTATGCGTTCGGTATCATCATGTGGGAGCTGGTGGCGCAGCAGCAGCCCTACCACAACATGGCGCACCCGCAGGTGCGGGGGAGGGGGAGGGTGGGCGGGTTAGGGTGTGGTGGGTCCTGATGTCCTAATTCCTCGCCCGATGTCCTGGTGGCTAGCGGCGGCGGGCCATATCAACCAACCAACCTCAATAGGAAACCCCAGTGTTATTCGAGGACCCTCCCCCCAACCGCCACTCTCTGCCCATGCCGCTGCCGCTCACCCTGCATGCAGATCATGGTGGGGGTGGTGACACACAACCTGCGGCCCAAGTTCCCCGCCTCCTGCCCCGAGTGGTACCGCAACCTGGCTCACCGCTGCTGGCGCAAGGACCCCAAGAGCCGCCCGCCGTTTGCGGAGGTGACGAAGGCGCTGCTGGCGATGCTGCCGGACAAGAACTGGGTCCCGGCGGAGTAGGGGCGGAGTAGGGGGATCTGAGGGGTCGTAGGGTGATAGGGGAAGGGATGGATACGCCGTACAGGGTTGGAGTGTACCGTGTTGGCGGAGTAGGGGGCGGAGAAGGGAAAGGGCGGAGAGGAGGTGGGAGGGCATGGCAGGCAAGGGGAATGCATGCAGTGGTGGGAAGGGATGGGCAGTGCGGTGGGGAGGGGGGTGAGGCGGGGGATGGGGGTGTGGAAAGCGGTGTCAGGATGAGGTGGTGTTTAGGAGTAGGAGTAAGAACGGCAGGAGGTGTAGAGTGGCGTGGAACTGGTAGGAGGAGGAGGGCGTGGGATTGCAGCATGTCTGGCGAGGGGTCTGTATGTATGTGCTTGAGGTGGCAGCTTGAGGCGGCAGCAGCTTGAGACCGTGTTAAGAGTCATCCCTGAGTTGTGGTAGGTAGGGAACATGGGGTGGCAGCACGAGTCAGTTTTGCAGCACCTTTGAGCGCGTTCTTCGCAAGGGTGCTGCTGCTGCTACTGTTTTATTTTGGTGCTGCTGTTGGTTAAGGTTATGATGATAACAAGAGGAATACCGCTGTTTTATTTTGGTGGCTGAGTTGTTATGCCCCGCAACGGCAGGAGAGGGGGCGAGAAAGAATGAGGAGCGGAGGAAAGAGGGACCGCGGGGTATTGCACCGCAGCACTAGTATACCAAGGGGACGAGTTAGAGCGCCCGCTAGCAATTGCGCGCTCCCTGCATGGGGCCGTGTCTCTTCTGTCATGCAACCTACCAACCGCGGGTTGATGACCGCCGATCTTTCCATGTACGTCATATGTGTTCATTTGGGGTTTCATTTCCGGGTTTTATTCGGACGGACGGAGAAATGGCGGTGAGCGGCTTACTGGAGGGCGCGAGGTCCTTCCGCCTGCAAGAGTGAGGGGTAGCATGGAGGACGTGGCTGGGTATGGTGGAGGGCCGGTTAGCTGCATTGGCCCGTTCCTCAATTGCTTGGATTTGCTTGGGGAGAGGTCACGTTGTGCTGGAGAGGGAACGCAGCAGCAGCAGTTCAGTTTCAGCGCTGGGCTTTTGCATCGGGTCGTGGCTTTGCAGGCCTGCTGCTCTTCCTAGATATATTTTGTTGTCAAGGTAAAGAAGAGCTTGTCGAGGTAAAGAAGAGCGGTGCCGGCTAGTGTGGAGGGGAGTTGTTGGCAGTATAGCGTTCTGATGGCTCGCAGGCGATAGGAAGTCAGGTTAATTAGCTTTGCCTCTGCATTGTAGTTTTGCATAAGCGAGACGGCGGGTTCGGGAAGATGGAAGGTAACTTTGTTACGTTATTTTGTTGTTGTTCGGGCACAGCCGTTATAGGCTGCGGTGAGGGGTGCTTTCGGTGGCAAAAGGATGTCGCGCGCCGCCACCTGGGGGAATTTCTCCAAACAATGCGTGGGCTACGAATGCTATTGATAGTCTGTTGTTCCATTCCTTGCCGTGCCTTCTTCCAATCCTTGCCATGCCGAGGGGTGTCGATGAGTGGGCTGGGGGAAGCTAGGAGGAGGTGCGCAGTTTTCGGGCTTTTGCGCCACCTTTGGCTGCAAGAAGGCGCGTGGGCTGCGTTGTTGCCAACCGCCGATGTTACTACTGCTGTTTGAAGATACATTTGACTAACGCTCTTGAGGCGGCGTTTCATTCCTCATTCCTCAGTCGTTGATACTTTTGTGCGATTCATGGTGAGGGTTTGCGTGGTAAGGGTTGCCTATCTAGGCAGACTGACTGCAGGGCCTAGCAAGTAGCGCGTAACACGCTACGGTTGGTTAGCGTGCTAGGGCTTGCCAACATGAAAGAGGCATGGGTTGGAGGCAGGGTGTGGATTGGTGTTGTAGCCTTGCGACTAAAAGTCCCACGGCGGTAGCTAGAACACTGCTGCTCCCACTGTCGGTGGGGGGGGTTACACCCGTCCTTGCTGTTGTGGAATTGCCGTATATAGCGGTGCGGTGTGGTTTAATGTGATGTGGCATGTTGGATGTGTGTGAAGTGGGGCCATGGAAGGCAAAGCCTGCATCGGTACAGGTCCTGAAGCGCTGCCTGGAACCACGTCTACCTTTTGTTGTTGGCGCATGTCCCTTTTGAGCGTTTCTGCTTCAGCGCTTACGATGGCAGCGGGGGATTGCGCGAGCTATACATGCATGGAGGGATACTACGACAGATGGTGTTCTTATTTCGTTGCTGCGGCAGAGGAGCAGCGTCTTGGGGTCGTGTCTGTGGCGATTGGGGTAGAAGGACTCGACAAGGGCACACGGGCCGTTACATTTTACCGCCCTAGGTTTTGCCGGTACGGCAGCAGGGGGGCAAGACGGCACCATCATACGGCGCCTCGGAGCACTACTGGGCTGTTCCCACGGCTTTTTTGGCCCTCGTTGAGCGTGCAATGTGTCGTTTCGTTGAGAGGGCGTTCACGGAAGCGACACAGGCACTGTTGCTAATCATCGTTCATAGGGGTAGCTGCAGGCTTCGTGCGTTTTGTGTGCGCGGTTTACAAGGCAGGACGCAAGCAAAGGCTGGAGTGGTGTGTTTCCTTGGTTCCGGGTCAGCGGTCGAGTTGGCTTGGGTCTTTCCGAGTAACGTTCTGAATGCCGGGGACATCTACCTTGTAGGAGAGTTCTCCTTGGTTGGCTGGCACGGGTGTGAAGGCGCGCAGATATATCGGCATTCGTACAATGGCATGATGCATGGTGCATGGTTGGTGCTGTACGGTTGTGGTGGGGCGAGATAACACCACTATACTACCAGGAAGCAGGACAGTGAGGGAGAGGCAGGAGTCGCAAGTCGAGGGAAATCAGTATATACTCCGCTGTTACAAGGAGTGGTAAATGTCTTTGCTTGGTGACCGAACCTAACAACTCCTCAACTGACGCTCGGTTGCTTCCCAACTAACTCCCCAACAAAACCGCCAACAATACCCCCGAACTTGGGGTTCTTGGCACTATGTCTCGTTATAAGACTATTGCCTTAAACTCGAACAGAGGAACAGATGGTTGCTTGAGTCGTTGAGTGCCCCGAAGGGGGCCTCTGGCCCAGCACCAACCTCATTACCTTGCTCGCACGTACCGGTATGCCACCGACTGCCGGTCTACACAAACAACTAAACACCGGCACGGGTCGTCCAAGCACGGGTGTTAAACAGCTAGGCAATGGCTGGCCTTACAAACCAGCTCGTCTCAGTAAATGGTAGTAAACAGATGCCTCTCAGATCATCCCAGGAAGCAACCGAACCACCATACGTCCATCCATGCTGCAGCCCTCATGCTGCTGCCAATCGCCCGCCTATATAGACCGGGGCTCAGACCGCTCGCCTGGTCAGCCAGCCGCTTGCACCTTCCCAATGTTCCCAATGCAGGACTCCAAACAGCTCTGTTTCTACGCCTTTGTAGCTGTGATAAACACCGAAAGCGGACCGCCCGGTCATGCAGTTGCTGTTGTTGCTGCTGCTACCGCTCCTGAAGCGCTGCTGCTGTTGCTGCCCTACAGCCGTTGATGACGGCCCCTCGCTCGATTCCTCCGTCGCCGATCCCTCGCTCAATCCCTCCGTCGCCGGCCCCTCCATGTGCCTCCCCCCTCCCTACAGGCTCCAGTAGCTGGGATGTGTGTATACTTGTTCATAGCCCTGAATGGGAGTGGGCGTGGGCGTGGGCGTGGGGGCTAGTCAGGACAAATAAGGGAGTAGGTACGGGGAAATGGACGCATAGGAGGGTTTGACCAGGGGGGGGAGGAAGGGGATGCGGTTGCTGGTCGGTGGAAACAGGTGTAAGGGCGAGGTACACCTCCGACACATCCATCCTGCCGCATCCTACAACCCAGTCCCAGCTTTCTTCGTGCACCACTCCCTATCCTAAAGCCCCCCCCCATCCAGACCTCCATTCAGACCCCACCTGAGGTCCTGCCTTCATCATGGCTCGCACCTCCGCCTCCAGCGCCCGCACTCGGTTGGCGCTGCGGTTGGAGCGGTTGGGGTGGTTGGAGCGGTTTGGGCGGTTAGCGGTTAACGACTGGGACGATCAGCAGCATGCTGGATGCTGCTGGTGCCACCGTGCCCCCCCGCCCTACCCCGCACACATGGCACCATGCCCCCCCCCGCATACCGCCCCCTCGTATCGTATCACACCTCCGCCCCCCCGCACGCCTCAGCACAGCACACCTCCACGCACCCCCACCTGCGTGGATGAGTGCACCCCAGTGACGCCGCCTTTCCGAGAGGGGACGACAGCGCCGCGAGCCCCAGACCCCGCTTGCCGTGCTCAGCCTCCTCAAGCAGCCTAGGAGGGAAGCAAGATGCGGGAGTCAAAAATGGACTGGGCTGGCTGGCTGGCTGGCTGAGCTGGGTAGTTTCCAAGCAGCATACGCCGCATATTTCGCATATAGAAGGGGGAAGACAGACAAGCTCTTCTGAACCCCGGACAGACCCATGGGTCATAACGCACACCGCATGCCGCACACCTGAATGTCTCAGGCGCCAGCGCGGGATCGTAGCCCGACAACGCCATCAGCTTCAGGCCGATCAGGTCCGCCTCCGACTCCGCGCGCCTGCGGGCAACAAACCACACAACTGGGGGGTTTAAGGTGTTACTCCACGACGGGTTCGGCGGACCCGTTTTTCTGTGCACGGTGCGCCGCTGCCGGTGAGGATCATGGAAGCATGGAGACTCAAATTGTAGCAGCCCGCGGCCCGAGGTAAGGTAAGCGTTTCATGGTAAACTAAAATACCCAACCACGCCCTGCCTTCAAGCCTCTAAGCCACCCTCTCTTGGTGTTCCCGCCCCGCCCCTCACTAGTCACCACCCCACCTGGAGAAGGGCAGCTGCAGCAGCAGGGAGTCCACCAGCTCCACCACTTGCGGGCTGAGCAGCGGGTGGTCTGCAGGCAGGCGGGAGGGGCTGCCGGCGGGCGGGAAGCCACCTCCGGAACCGCCTCTAGCTGCGGAGAAGGAGGCGGGGAAGGAAGCGGGGTAGCGGCGTTGGGGGCAGCAGATGGTTTGGTGCGGGGAAAGGGGAACGCGAGTGTGGACGTGTGAGATGGCACAGGCAGTCATGCAGGCA